GTGCCGACTAGCACGAAACCTAGGTCAAGAAAGGCCTCCTGCCGATTGCCTCCAACCATCTAATAAAATTTGTATCATTGTATAATTTCTCACTGCTCATAGTTGGTAGGAATAACGTCTCAATAAGACAGTTTCTGCATTATTTCAATTTAATAAAGCATAGTTTCTTCTTTAAATTTTATAGAAAATAATCGTATGACTGTTCAAATTACGCACATGGTTAAAGGGATCTGCGAGTAGTTTTTAATTAATTTTATATTTCCCATTATTTGACTATACTGGACCGAAATCCTCGATATCTGTAGTTGACCTGTTGGCTTCTAGTACGGGTGCTTCGACGATGTCTGAGGATCAAGGTAAAGTTATCGTGGTTGGTGGTGGTGAGTAGCAGTGGGATTCAGGATGGGCATTTCGGTGGCCCTAGTGGATAATGGTTTTGTGTTTTGAAAATTATGGGTGCAGGACTCTGGCTATCTTCAGTGGGAGATTTCCAAATAGGATAAGGTACACATCCTCGATTCATGAAGAAAAATCCATGCATCCCTGTTTAAATGCGTATGTCTTGTGAATTAGATATTAGTGAGGACTCTTTGAAAATGAAGAAACTGAATGGATATTCTCAATCCCACTAATATTTGTTTTCGATTCTTCGCGTTCTGAGTGGAATATTGAGAGCTTCAAGTTTTAGTAAAGGTTGTGTTTTTTTTTTTTAATGCGAGCTGGAGCCTCATGCCCAGTTTTTCATTTTTTCTGACTTTACTACAGACTAAACAAGGTTTGAGAGTCCGTCGACCAGGGATCAAATCCGGACTGTGTGTGTGTGTAGGGTAGCATGAAATTATACTCCATAGAATTGCTTTGAATTCTTCGCTCTTATTATTGCTGCTTATCTATGCAGTGTTTAAGACTACTCAAATGGTTCTGTGCGCGGGTTTTGCACAAGTTATGTACTGTTTTCGAATTGAGTTAAGAAGAAGGGTTTCAGCACTAAATACAACTTGTTCTCAGAATCAAGTGAAGATTGTAATGGCCATTTTTATTATCAAAACGTCGGTGGCAAAGCGGTTAGGACTCTTGCCGACCATGCACGTGGTCTAAGGTTCGATCCCCCGCCGACGCACACCTGATATCTATTGTCGGCCTGCTAAATTTGGGCTACCGATATCACATGCTGAAAATTTCATACTTGTACCAAAATAATGTGTGGAATCAAGCTTTAATAAAATAAAAAATAAATAAATAACGGGAACCCTGAGAGACAGTTTCCTAGATGCATATACAATCTGGCTTCTGGAATTAGATTTGATAGCTTGTGTTTCTAGTTGAACAAATAGAATTGTTTCTGTTTGCAGGATTTCATCATGAGGTGACATTAATTAGAGAACCATTGGAAAACCTGGGAGTACTGGACAGCTGTCCCAAACTAGGACAAAACAGCCGAAGACATTGGCTAGGGGTCGCGCTATATCGTGAATTGGCAGAAGTCAGAATTAATGGGCCATTGGATCGGGTCCCAATGGCTTAATGGTATACGAGCCTTGTAACCAGAAGGTCCTTGTTTCGAGTCCCGGTGGGTGCGTACTGATGAAGAGTCCCAAACTACGACGAGACAGCTGTCCAGTACTCTCAGGTTTTCTAGTGGTTCTCTAACTAATGTCACCTCACGATGAAATCCTGTAACCAATCAGATCCCTACAAACCAACACTAGAATTGTTTCTATTACTAAGGAGTGTAGGTTTGATAACAGCACTAATATAACGAAGTTCTCGGGTATCAAATACTTCACGGTAGAATTGAAATCCATCAGGCTTGAGCTGACATAAAGTTTTCTGGGTAGAATTTATATTGTAACTGAAGTTTATATATATCACTTCGTTCTTTACCTATTGCTTTATCGAATGAAGTGCAAGGGGTACAATCAATGACCAGATATCAATTTCACTCTATTTGTTATATGTTTATGATCAACTACTATAGATGAGTTACATTTAGCTGCAAAGTAATATTAAACACTATCTTATCTTGGTTATTGTAATGGGATCAATACCGATTTGTCGAACGTATATATAAAAGAAATATATATTTTATTAACCGGTAAATAGCTTATAGTGTCTGGCGTTCAGTGGTAGAATGGTCGCCAGCCACGCTGGAGGTCCAGGTCCAACTCTCATCAGCCTCACTCTTAACAATCTCGCTTAGACTGTGGCAAGTTGAAGAAAGAGGGAGGGTTGGGCTTGAGGCTAACAGCTCCACTCCATAAAAATGGAACTGTAACTTCAAAACTTTTATCTCTTTATTCAAGGAATCAAAACAAGAGATTATGTCGTAAATTATTCATTCTATAATCTAATTTGTTCTTGGACCTTCTTTACTATTTGAGATTGAGCTTTGAAGCTGCAGTAACAGTGGTGGTTTTACATGGTGGGATTGTCCGCCTCACGCCCAACCTTTCCTGGTCATCAGACTTACAGCCTACTAGGGTAGGTAGGTTGCGGTGAGCGCCGACTGGGACTCGAACTTAGGACCACGAGCATTCTACAGCTGAACCATCGATGGAATTTGAGGTTATTTTAGGACATCTTATGTGTGGTGGCCTTCACCAACTAGGTCACCTGGTTAAGGTGAAGGTAGCATGAAACAACAACTGTACTCCGTACACCTCTGCGTTGCATTTGGTTGTTTGTGTGTGACATCTGGTTATTCACGCTTCGCTTCTCAACAATCCCTATTCAAGTTTATTTTTTTTGTTATTTCCTTCACGTTCCCCAGTGGAACATAGGGCTTCAAGCTAGTGGCTTGAAGTTTCTGTAGCAGTGCTTATTTTACAGGATAGGGTTGCTAGCCAGCCTCATGCTCAACCTTTCCTGTTCACCAGCGTTATTTCTGGCTTAGCGAGGTAAAGGAGTGCGTCGGCCAGGCATCGAACCCCAGTCGACGCACACCCGGTATTTAGTGCGTCGGCGGTGTAGCGGTTAGAACGCTTGCCGATCATGCACATGATCCGGGGTTTCGATTCCTGGCCGACGCACTCCTTTACCTTGTTGAGCCAGAAATAATGCTGGTAAAGAGGAAAGGTTGGGCATGAGGCTGGCTAGCAACCCCATCCTGTAAAATAAACACTGCTACAGAGACTTCAAGCCACTAGCTTGGAGCCCTATGTTCCACTGGGGAACGTGAAGGAAAAGAAAAAAAATTAGGACATCTAATACTCTTCATAGTAGACATCTTCAAAACGAATAGCATTTTAGCTGTCGAGATGCATACCTATATAGATGATGAAATATATTCACACTATATGGTTAACATTGCCTATCCTGAGGAGGTGTATACATCTCTGTGTATTACCATGTAGGGAATTTTGCCTCTTTAATTGTTTGTTATCTTCTTTAAACCTTTATGTTCATTTGCGACAGCTGCTTATTGTATACATACCAAGTAAACTTCTATACCATAGACTAATATAGTGTACAATGTCGATTTGTAATGCTCAGCAATTATGTGACCTGTAAGACTTGTGACTTCACGTTTCTTTTTTTCCTAATGATTTTCCAAACCTTATCGACGAGTAAATTTGTCATATATATATATATATATATATATATATATCGATTCACTGCATAAACGGTTTTGCATCACTGAATACCTACCTGATTTTATTGGCGGCATACTAACGATTCAATTTCCCTAATGACACTGCTGTTCACCGTATTTTGACAGCTTCTAAGCTGCATGAAATAGACTCTATTGTCAAGCGTTGGTTATCAGAGTGTAAAATGGCATTACTGAGTTATATGATGCAACAGTCATGTGGAGTATGCTTAGGCGTGATTGCTTAGAATGAGGAAGATAGAGGGAAGAAGAAAGAGAGGGATGACTTCCTCGGCATTCATCCATCGGCAAGACCTGACTGACTGACTACTTTCAAGTGTAGAACTTTGCACTGATGTGCAGCAGTTTGAGTTGCAACACTCCCTGTAGCACACAAGCAAGAGAAGAGAGTAAGCAGAGATTCAAAAGAGAGATAATAAACAGAAGTGTGAATGAGACAAAAAGAATAGTAATATGGGAGAACAATAGAATTTTATTGGATATTACAAATCACAGAGAATGAATGCATCTGCCCCAGCCATCAGTTAGAACGACTTTGTGTCATATCACCAATTGTCTACAGCCTTCGTTGGTTCTTACCATCCCGAGGACCCTAACCAGACAGCGGGACAGTATACACCTTCCGACGTGGCTAGCTGGCCTACACTAACTGTTATGGATTTCGTTGGCTGATGAAGCCATGTTTCCATTTGACAACCACTAGCTGTTTTCCAACCCCATCAATCCTATATCAGCTAGCATCGCACTACCCGTCGAGGAAGGTTATGGCTAGGGATGCATGCATAACGCATGTCCTAACCATCTCAATCGGTGTAACTTCACAACCTCGTTGATTGATTTCTCCTCACTCCTCACTTAACACTCGACTGATGCCTCACCTCATTATTGCTCATCCTTTTATACCGCCTAACACGGGACGTAGATAGAACAAAGGTACCTATGCGTCGGTGGCACAGTGGTTAGGACTCTCGTTCGGGGCTCGATCCCCTGCCAACGCACACCTGATATTAATGGTCGGCCTGCAAAATTTGGGCTACTAACATCACATGCTGAAAATTGCATACTTGTACCAAAAATATGGTGTGGAATCAAGCTGTAATACAAAAAGCAGCTAGCCAGGCTTTTCATGTCTTCTACTTTCAATGTCCATGTCTCACTCACAGCCATAAAGGAGTACAGAGCGGACTGCTGAGCAGTACACACGCCTTTTGGTCGGCAAGACCTGTCTTGACAGATTGTGTCATGCAATATCGATGTTAAAGACCGAATGCAAGTATATGTGTTTTTAAATACATGCTTACATTGATTGTATCATTTCAATATGTTTCTCACCAATAATTTTTCTTTCTGTTATTTCTTGTTCTTGATTACTAGCTACAAACTACTGTCAATGAAATTCCGCATTAAAACAAATGATCCGGGATGTATTGAATATTTCTCAAGTTAGTTAGTTTACACCTTTTTTCAGTGTCTTATTCTTAGTTCTGTTATTTTAGAATTATTATCAATAAAGTAGTTCTCCTAACTTCGATATTTGATTGTAGATGTTTTTGATCATCTAGTTAACTTGGTGAAATCTTCAACAGTCCCCTCAAATTACCGAAGCTCGGAAATGATCCTCACTCAGAGCTAAAATTCTTCTCTATTGTTTAATTTTGAAGAAATCTCTGTTGACATGGTTTTTGATATTATCTGAGACTTATCTAGTGTATAATAAAATCCGTTGGTAGAACTAGGCGAATTAACTGATGAGATAGAGGCTTCCGAACTTGGATGATTGAATTCTCACAGGCGTGTAAGAGCTTACAGAGAGAGAGAAAGAGAGTTGTCATCTGAAGTGTTGACAACTAGTGATGTCCGTCAGGAATGCCTACTGATTTCATTTTTCTTTAGTTCCGTCGTAGATATGTAACGATAGAAGACAAAGGCCAGGCAACAGATGGTTTATTAAGAAAATCAACAGAAATCAAGAGATTTTTATGTACATTATTATTCGTTATTATTAGAAGAAAAACAGCGTCTTCTGATTGGTTGTTTTCTCGCTGGAAGTTAACCTGTCATCTCTTTGTGGCCGTTTCTTTGAAGGTCATACCATATATCTGCGAATCGTATCCGCCCACGCTAAGTCTGCTGTGATTGGTTGTTGAGTTCCTCAAGGTTAGGCTTTGTTCTTGTTTTTTCTCATGGCCAAGACTTGGGACGTAAACATTGACGTCAATTGTTGTCTACAATTTTTTCTTGCAGACAGCTCTCATCACAGATATACTATCGGATGTTACCCTAATCGACTTTAGCGAGTTAGGCATTGACTTGTTGTTGCTGTAAGTGTCTCATCGATTCAGAGTATCCGGATTATGTTGTTTTTGAAGGTGAAGACGTTGGTAAATTGCACAATTTTCTCAAAACACATTGAGCAGAAATTTACGAATGTTTGGCATGCAATTTGATCCTGTCCAATGTAAGATGATTCTACAGGACTGCACCATACTGACGCCTACTTTAAACATAGGGATTCAAATGGTTGAGTGCGTTGACCACTTCACTTATTCGGAAAGTTCCTTAAGCCAACCCTGATGGACTGATTGCTGATGCTATCTCTGTGTGGTATTCACCACCTTACGTCACCTCTAACGCAGATATAAAATCCAGCAATCGATCAGAAGACTCGTGTACTGCACAGCACTTCGCTTTGTCCTCCTTTGTGCCTGTGGGACATGACTGTCGAAAGTGGAAGACATGAAGATATGAGTTCTATCTTTCGCATTATGTGGTACAGTATGGTGAGTAATATTTAGGTTGAACGTATAGTGTTAGATAAGGAGGGTAAGTTAGTCGACCAAGTCGTTTGGCTTCATCGATTTTGGATGTCTAGGACACGTGTTGCGCATACTAAACCACCGCCTTCTTCGACTAGGAATGTTAGCCGACATAAGATTGTGTTAGAAAAGAGTTAGGGGTGTTCAAACCAAAACCTGTTAACAGTTTTTTAGGTCTTTGACTGTTGGTTATAATCAGCCAACGGCCTGGTTGGAGTCTCGAGATCCTTTTGAATAGCTTTTTCTCTCCTTTCCTGCCTACCTGTGTGTGGTATGAGTGAATGAGCTTTTAGTATATTGTAAGAGGTTATTGACCATCTCTCCTGGTGGATGCGTGTAAAACAGTCCATATTTATAGATAAATATTTCATTTGAAACTATGGGAACAAACAAAACAAGAACCAATCGCCCAACAAATATGCAGGAGAAAGTAGAGATGGATTGGACACTCACTGAGGAGGCCGCTGGGTGAAATCGCGCGTCAGGCCAGTGCTCGAGTGGAACCCGAAAGGGAAGCGGCGAGTGGGACGTCCAAAGTCACATGGAGGAGATCGTGTGAAGAGGAATTGAAACAGTACGGACTAACATGGATGCAGGTGAAAAGTACAGCACAAGACAAGCAAGTGGAGGCGTGCAGTTGAAGCCCTATGTTCCACTAGGAACCCAAAAGAACAATAATAATAAATAATAATTTCATTTGAGTTATAACACATTTTCCATCCTACTTTTCTTTCTTCACAGGTATCGTACAAATGATGGCTGGCCTGGCGAAAAATGTTATTCTACGCTTGAATAAAGGTCAATTTTCATTTGCTATTAAAGAACGTATTGTATTCGGTGGGATTACAGCATGGTGTGATGTAGAACATGTAAGCTGCTACTATTCCAAATTGACATTTACAGTATATATATTTTAATTATAGCGAAAATTCCCATTTAGTTATTTTAATAATAATAATAATAATTCGCTTCATTCCAGAAACAGTACTAGTGGCACAGTGTGGAATTTTCAGCACATATCTACAATATTTGCATCTAATTTTATCAAACATTTAAAAGGAGTATTTCAAAAAATAAATATAAAGACGACAACAACAAAAAACACAAAAATAATTTTAAAAGATGCAAAAAATACCAAGAAGAAGAAAGGAAAATCAACAACATAAAACAATATCTCAGTATTGGGTAGTGGAAGCTATGATATGATTATGCATGGTGACAGTAAAGCTGTAGTCATACAAGAAGTTATGAAATGATATTTAAGAATGTTTATCGCCAAGATGATCAGTTAATTTAGGTTGAAACAACACCAAACAATCATAAAATAACATTTCAGGGTTGTTGTTTTGTTTTTTATTGTCAGGTCTAATGCAGTGTTTGTAGTGGTAGTGTGAGTAATCCTGCATAATACAAAATTTTAAGATGGTGACAATGGCGTTCATAACCAATGATTGTCAGTTAATATTGCCGAAAAAATAAAAAATAAGGAAAAAACAACCACAAAACTAATAATTACATGATGGTTAATGACAGGACAATTTTGTAATACTCTTAGTGCTAATATAGTCTGAACCAGTAGGTATACAAAAGAAGGAATACAGTAAAGTACAAAAAGTAAGCCAGTGTTATTAATTTAGGTAGCTAATTATGTTTAAGAAGGAGTTCGCTATAGAATACAAAATAAAAGGAAATGAAAGAGCCTAAAATTATGTTATTAACAACAAAGCAAATCATAGGTTTTGCGCTTAACATTGTCTCTGTCACTTAGAACACGAACCAAGTATGGTATCGTTGAGTTCCTGTACTTGATTTTACGAGCATAGATTATTTTATACTGATTTAAAAAGGCAAGTAAAAGATTGAGAAAAGGATTTTTCTTTCTGATAACTTCGTCATCTGGCTTCACAGTTATATAATACAAATAATATTTAAGACAGAATTGTTACTGACAGTATTGATTTTCCTTTCAAAAGCGGCAGTTTTTTTAGTGATAACATCAGTGAGATAATAACACAATGACGTCTAAAGAACGCAGCAAGAAAGAACATTCACTGTAGCAGGAGTTCACTGTCTTTTCACAACCAGTCACTCCTATTTTACGTTCAAAGAGTTAAGGATGAACTACTTAATTTCACCTGCTTTATGCGTATCTACTAGTTTGACTGCTCCTTTGAAGCTACTTATATAGGACGTACTATTTAAAAACGTTCATCATCGTATTTCTGAACATCATCGTGTTTTGGTTGAGCCAGGAACAAACAAAGTCTATTCTTAGTACATCTTGTAGTTGCTGAATATAAAGTCGATGTTAACAAGACATTTAAGCTTATCTACCGTATTCCGACTAGTTTCAACTTTGCCTTATGAGTTCGTTCTTTGCATATAACTGAAGTGGCTACCCAGAACGTTTCATCATAAAATCTATGAAACCTACACTACCAAAACCGCTCACACTCTCTGCTTCCAAGAAACTTCTCTACCTGAAACTACAATTCAATGGAGATTCATCAGCAGAAATACTGGGAAACCGCCTGTCCCGCTCACTGAAGAATACCTTCTTCGCGACTGAATTCCGACTAACCTTCCCTACAAAACCAGTTACTCGCATGAACGTGAAGGATTAGCTACCACCGTTGGCATCATCAATGTGTATCGACCGATTCACCTGCTCGTGAGGAGTTAGGTATGTTGGCCGTACCCAGCGTTTGATGTCCAAACGTATCGTATCAAACACACTTACCCACAGTGATGGTTTTATAAAGGAGAAAAAAAAGGTCCCCTTCGAAGCTCTATTCTGGAACACCTGATCGAATCGGAGCACCAAGCGAACCCACAAAGTAACTTCAAATGTATCTACAGAATACGTGGGAATCTTGCTCTTTTACTGTACGAATCAAACTTCTTCAAACTGCAGGAGCAATCGCAATTCACATGGTAAAACCTGAACTCTGCATACAGAAGAAGTTTGTTCAGTCATTAAATCTACAGGGGATCTAACCTATCTTAACAACAAATACGTAATTTTTGTTTCGTCATTTGTTTTGCTTCTTTGTTTCTTAGTTGTATTATTTTCTTCCCTCACCCCTTATTACCACTGGTGTTAACTTGACTTTGGTTCAATTTTCATTTTAGCTGAGCTTTACTCATCCCCGTCACTTAGATTACGTCACTCAACTTGCTTATTAAATCTTATTTTAGCTTCTAACCAGTCAACGAAATTTCCTATCTAAAATTTACAACTCTAATGACAATTTATTATGTATATGCGATTGTACAGCTTGAGAATGATATCACCGAAAAGATGAATAACTCCTTGCTGAACGCCTTTTCTTTTATATATAACTCAATGGAAATTTTTGAATAGCTGAAGTCGTCGGAATCTACTTGAAGAAACCTGACACATGTTAAGAAGGAGCTTGTTCAGTTGCTTTCTCTACCTTGGCCATGATAACTTGTTTGTAACAATGTGATTACTTCCTCTTTCCCTCTAAGCCCTTTAGTAAGCTATGATTGTTTCAGCTGTCTTGCAGTTCTCTTCTTATATCCAATTTAATACTATATTCTTATGCATATTGTCACGCACACATTCTTCTCAACTGTAATCTACCAATCCCAACAGCTTGTATCATTTAAAAAACATCACTGTTGGGAATAACGAGTACTTTTGATCAGACACTAGTTAGTAAGCAGTGTAATGTATCTAGTCCTCTGCTTGGTGTAGGCTGAATTCTATCAGTCGTGTTTGAAATGTGGACACCATTCTAGGTGTACTTTGAATTGTTGATATCAGATGGTTGGAGGCAATCGGCTGGAAGTCCTAACTGGCTTAGGTTTCTTGCTGGTTGGCACTTACCAGTCAGCAAGGCGTATCTGTGATGAGGCGTGAAGGAACTCATGTCCCTCGTCTGAGATTCGAGCCTGGGTCACCCAGTTCCTTCGAGCTGGTTACAGATACACCTTTCTGACTGGTGAGTGCCGACTAGGACGAAACCTAGGTCAAGAAAGGCTTCCTGTGAATAGCCTCCAACCATCTAATATCAATAACGATCACCCTTCAAGTGTTCTGTGTATATATAACGGAAACTGGAAGACACATAGGTGAAAACTGACAAACTGATTGAAGGAGCAGCAAAGTAAACATAGAGATGGCGGAAGTGGTGAAGGTAGACAACCAAACAACAATCGCCAATCACTATCAACGGAAATAAATTTGAAAAAGGCTACTTCCTTCATTTATCTAGTCAGCAGGATGAGGAGGTCAAACCCAGAATTGGAAAGTCAAGACAGACTCTCATCACTCTGAAATCATTATGGAAGTCTTCTACAATCAACATAAAGAACGAAATTCGGATTCTCAACACTAATGTTGGATCAATCACTTCTTTTATATGGATTAGAAACTTGGCGTGTAACCAAATGTATTTCCATTAGGTTGCAGACATTTATCAACAGCTGTCTTCGCTCCCTATTGAAGATCAAATGTCCAACAAGAAGGAATTAGCAGCAAGAAACTCTGGGAATGGACCAACCGAGAAACTACTTTTCGACAAACATTTCGAAGAAAATGGGGATAGGTTGGACACACGCAGAGGAGACCGTCAAATAACATCGCGTGCGATGCGGGTCATCGCTTGGGTGGAACCCAAGTGGGAAAAGATGAATGGGGCGTCCGAGAGTGACATGGAGGAGAGGAGAGGTCACAGGCAATCATAGGGCTAGCTGAAGAGGACCTCAGAGGAAAAAAAAGTGGAGATGGGCCACTGAAGCCCTATGTTCCAGTCAGAAACCAGAGGAATAATAAATAATACATGACTATTAAGCCAGATACGCATGTTTGGCCGTCGCCTTTCTCGACGGGCAATGTTAGCGGGCACAGAATCGATGAGGTTTGGAAAGAAAAAGCTAGTGATGGTCAAATCAAAGCATGGTTTCATCAGTCAATGAAATCCATAACATTTCTTTTAAGCCTGCCAGACACGTAAGGAGGTTTAAACTGTCAAAATTCTTTTTAATGGCTGGTGCAGATGCATTAACTCTCTGTTATTTGTAATATCCAATAAAACTCTACTGTTTTCTTTCATAGTACTATTCTTTTTGCCTCACTCACACTCCCGTTTATTATCTCTCCTTTGAACCTCTGTTTACTCTCTTCTCCTGCTTTGTGTGCTACGAGGAGGGAGTGTTGCAACCTGACCTGGTGCACATCTGTGAAAATTTCTATGTTGAATCCAGTCGGTCAGTCATTTAGCCAGATAGGGAAGTTATCGAAAAGAATATTCTTTTCCCTAATCTCTTTTTTGTCTTCCTAAACTGTTTTATTTAGAAAGATGGGTAGTAACAGAATTAATCAATTTGACTACTACTCATTTGAAAATGTTTTTATCACGGAGGCTACAACTCTTCACTTATGCTAAGCTGCCAATGCGTTGCTGGCAATGTGTGTTACATCTAAAAATGAATAATGACTTATCAGTGAAAAACCAAAAAATTTTTCATAATGAATTTCCTCAAAAATCGACATCAGTTACAGGGAGAAGTGTTAAAAAATAAAGAGCGGCAACTAAACTTGACCCCCACCCCTGCCTACAGTCATCCACTTACATAGAGGCACTGCATGGAGAATCGAAAGGAGCTAGAACTCATGCGCCATTGTGTTTTTAATGGGCCAGCTATTTAATATTGACTGATCATGAACTGACCTCAGTTTGAGAACCATTGAAAATCAGGGAGTCACGGCTGTGTGTTGCTGAGGAGTCTCGAACAAAGACGAAACACCTGTCTAGTACTTATTGGTTTCCAATGGCTCTTTAACTGATATCAATTCGTAGTCTAACTTGAAACTAATCAGACCCCGGCAGACTAACGCTCGAAAACTAGTTTAGTGCGTCCTAGCAACTAACTACAGGATGAAGTTGCATCAAGTCCTAGTAGGAAGTCGTGACCAGCGGCGTCTACCAAGTCGGGTGTGACGACAGATACTTATCGATGATAATGGCTGCCGGTCGTGCCAGACACATCACGAATTGACAGGGATCAGAGTTCATGTCCCGACCAGTGGTTTCTATCCGAGTGGCTGAATGGTGGACGTGTTTACCTTAGAACCTGTGGATCGTGGGTTTAATCCTTGGTGATCGGGTCATGGGTGAGTATTGATGAAGATTCCTAGCCTAGGACGAAATAGCTGCCCAAAACTCTGTGGCCATCTAACTGAAATCACTTCATAATCAACTTGAAAAAAAAAACAAATTCAAGTTTTCGTTAACTGACTAATTACTGTTTTTTTTTGTAGGCAGTCTTGTTTCCTGAACGTATATGTGAAGGTATTTCACCTGATCAAGATGAAATATTCCTTGAAGTAATTATTGATCATTTGCTGCATTGTATTCGTTCAAATGCACAATCTGCTGCTGGTCACAATTCATTGTACAATACAACTTCTTCATCTAACTCAGGCATGAATAAATCACGAATTGGATCGAGTTCTATTACTGGAATGGTGAATACATTTGATCAGTCTACATGTCGACTACTTGGCTTGAAAATTAAATTGGTTCGACGTAAAACGCCTTGTTTAGCAATTGAATTAGAACAGGTTAGTAAATGTTGATGCAAATAATGGTCTGTAAACTAAGCTTACCATTATTGAATTCAATTTTTAGATTTTCCCGTCGATTGATTGAACCGAAGTGCTAGGTCACAGGTTGACATGTCGGCTTCTTGTACAGATGCTTCGACGATGTTTGAGCAAGGCACTGGGCTCCAGCCTCATCGGGAACATCATCTATCACCGTGGAATGTAGGTACATCCAGAGGACGGGTCCCAAAAAGGAAATGCGCATCCAGGATTCCACTGCTAGTCACTATCCACCAATTAACTTCTAAGCTTACCATTATTATTATTACTTTTATTCGTCTCCTGAGTCCAGAGTCGAACATAGGACTTCAGTAACGCACACAACCATGTTAATCTGCTCTCGGCAATCACCTTTAACTGACTCAACAATTGCCTACAAACTTCTATTCCCTCTCACACTCAGAAGCCCAGCTCGCCACTTCCTATTCGAGTTCGGTTCAACGGGCTGGCTTGCAGTATCTCTTGAATATTTCCTCAGTATGTCTGCAATCCATCTCTGTTTCCTCCTGAGTATGCGTTGAGCAATATACTCTTGGCTGATTTGCTTCTAAAGTCCTTTGTTGCTCATCTCTTATAGACATTTGATTTTCAGTATCCAACGAAGTCATCCGTCGGTAAAAGTGTACAGCCTGTTGAAAGTGATTTCGATGACGCGCAGGTCAAGTGTCTGAATTATATAGAAGCACCGACTAATCATTTGTGTTCGTTACTTGTGCTGAGCGAATAGTCTATATCTCCAAAAACTGATTTCAGAGTAATGAACACCTGCCTGCCTTTCTTGTTTTCCTGACCTCAACATGGCTGGCCGGCGTTGACATCTTCGTCTGTCCCACCTTCTGTAGTAAAAACGATGCTGCCCAGGTGGTAGGTGAAAGAGACAACTTCCTTTCGACATCTCCTGTTAATGATGCTTGCTTCTTTTTAGTTGCAGTGCTTCAAAAGATCCAACAGTCAACATCTTAATACTTTACAACAATGGATGCGCAAGTTTTGTGTCTACAAATACTTTTAATTAGTAGTATATAGAAACATAATGATTACTTACTAGAGGCATCCTACTCAGCTTCATGAGATCCCTTACTAACAGGGTTTTTTTTTAAATTTCTCTTTTCAAATTTAGTCAAGCGTTACAGGTCGTCCACGTTCTGTTTGGCATTTTATTCCTGTACAAGTTGTTCCTCCACGTTTATGGGATGAATTTATTGAACCGACAGATCCAGACTTCGATGTAAGCAGTATATCATTTGACTGATGAATTTTTATTTATAATGAATACCTTCAGTGTAGATTTCTTCAAGAAGCAAACATTAGCTAGAGATATTATTGAGGGTTGAACCGTTGTCTCGTCCTATTCTGTGACTCTATCCGTACACACCTACAACTCAGTCGGGGTTCGAACTCAGGAACTTTAGGTTGATCGTAGTCTGAACGTCCCGGATCTGATCTCAAATAACCTGGTCATAGGTGCATTCTTTCAAAAAATCCCAAATTAGGACGAAATAACTACCCAGTACTCCCTGGTTTCCAATGGTTCCCTAACCGAAGTCAGTTTGTGATCATTGTTAATAACCAACCATTGTTGTTTTTGTTCTGCCCGAGTGGATTAATACGCGTGTATAACAATACTGGAAAGCAAGAAGCATCTCGGCGGAATACCGAGTGCGACTATTGTCGCGCAAGCAATTTTCACTTCCCTAATTCAAGGGAATATCACAAGATAAAGACTAGTCTGTAGAGACAATTTTAATATACATGTATGTATACACGGATAATTCATCGTAACTACTCCTGAAAACAACGACAAAAATTACTGTACCGCATAGTCTGTTCATTGGTAGAATACTCGCCAACCACGCACAAGGCCTGGGTTCGATTCCCGGCCAATGACGCAATCCTAAACCCCACCAAGTTTACTTGCCAGCAGTAATCTAGGAAAGAAAGGAAGGTTAGGCGTCAGGCTAGCAAATCCACCCCTGATAAAAACACCATCCATCAGCAGACCTTAACTACAAGTAGACATATTTTATTTACGATGTCAGTCAACCTCGATCATGCCTTAGGTTCTGAGTGCAGCACAGGAATTCACTTTTTGGAGTTTCAATATCATTGGGGTTGTTTGTATGTGGTGGGGCTACTAGCCTCATACCCAATGTCCTTCTCTCTTTTCTGAACTTACTATTGGCTAACCTGAGGGTTTAGGAGTACTTCGGTCGAACCAGCGTCTCCCAAATGTCTAACGATCATTCTGCCATTGAAGCACCGAGTCTCGATTTAGATATCTTTCACTGTCTAACCAACCCTATGTAGATGTAGTCTAATTGTCAATCACAGGTGACAAATCATTCAAACTACTTCATTTTATTACATTTTTTGCAAAATTATTGACTAAGTCTTTCTCCTTCCATAGATATTCTGGCTGTCTTGATCGTTCTATTACATATAAGGAACGCTTCAAATACACGCACTAACGATTATCTGAATTGTCGCCTAATTCGTCTGCTTCGAACAAAGACAAACGTAGTTCTACAGTTATTGGTTCAAACAGTTTCTGTGACCATTAGAATCTTTGATGTCAATTTCAAATTTCCATAAATCCGTTTAAGTGTTCGCAGCTATTTCTGAGCAGTATACATAAACATAGTTTTGAGCTTGGGAATGAACGAAAGTTATCTGTTATAGATATCAGGTTTAACTGGGAAAATAGGAGGTATTTAGCCTTTATTTGGTTAGGCTTGCTACCATTAAAATGAACTTACATTATGCACCTTAAAAAAGTAATAGAGTAATAATATGGGCACTAAACGTTGAATGAAAATCCAGTCAAAACCTGACATCAGTCCATGAAGTCATTGACGGTTGATTTGAACCAGCCGCATAGGGAGCTGTAGGCTACGACGTTGGAGTCTTCAAGACTATCAGAACTAATTTCTGGAGGCTTTTGGTGATATGGTGCAGGTGTATTCACTATTTATAAAACTCCTAGATTCAATAAATAGTCATATTCCCCCCCCCCCCCACAAACACACACACCACATATTTCTGCTTATTAAAGTTCTTTTGAATTCCTGCTTTTCTCTCTTTTGCCTATTTTTGTGTGCTACATGGATTGTGCCAACTCAAACTGGTGCATTTCCTTGCCTAATTCTATGTCGAAACTTAGTCAAACTGAAAGATCGAGAATTCACATAGTATCACCCAGTGTGTAGACAGAGCTTGTTGCATAGTTCACAAATGTAAACACTGTTATTAATTTGTACTTCTATGTTAAAATTGTGTCAATTATAAATTAACGTCTTCATATTTACTCTTGTTACCGGAAAATCATGGGTTCGAACCCTAGTGTATGTGTGTCTACGATTGAAGAGTCCCAAACTAGGATGAAACAGCTGTTCAGTACTCCCTGCTGAACGTGTAACCAATCAAATCTCTGATAATTTACTCTTTTTGTTTTTTTCCTCTTTGTTTCTAATTCGTGATTAGGTGAGCATTTTCTTTCCTCCGGTGAAAACTTTACGTCCATTTGTTGATCGTATGAAGAGATTTGCAAAATTTGTTGTAAGTATAATATAAGACATTCTTTGTGTTTGTTTTGTTTTCTAATGCTGTTTTGTGATATATATATATATATATATATATATATACCAGATCCGATGAAATCTCTAAAAGGGTGTTACATCAAGGCATCTGAACATAACTGAGGCACTAGCGATCCAAGCTCACTCTATAAATATATCCAAAAGAAATAAGTCCATTCACCTTTGTCTCTACCATGACTCTCATAAACAGTTACTTCTCTCAATCAATAATGGTTATTCTGTTTACCTTTGTCTTGTCGGGGTGGGGGGGGGGTGTTTGTGTGACACTGGACATAAGTCGTCCGCAAAGCCCTGATCTTCTAGAGTCTTTTCGAGCATAGTATATCTCTTTAGTCTATATGCGTATAATTCTTCTGTACTCATCTCTCTTTTTTCCCTTGATCTTTATTTTTTTCACAGATAATCAGCGCTAATGGTTCAGGTGAATTAAATTTCGGCGTGAATGTTGAAACGCTTGCCTGCGTTAAATTGACCTTTAGAGGTTTAAAAGCACGTAGTTGGATGACAGAAGAATCACCTACAGAGATCAATGATTCAATAGACGATGCCCGGAGTGTTACCTGGGAATCCAACTCTCATTATCATCATCATCATAATGATGATGTTGATATGGATAGATCACAGAATGAAAATCTAAATAAGAAATTTGTTTCAGTCAGTTTAGATATACGACGTATTGGACAGTTGTTATCAAGTCTGAAGACTATTCCCAGTTGTTTTGTTTGCAGTAAGTTGCTCGCATTTTTTGTTTTGTTTCATTCCTTTTCATGTTCTGAGTGTGGGTTTTGAAGCTTCAGTGACGATTGTTGTTGTTATTGTTGTCGTCGTCGTCGTTACAAGATGGAGTTGCCAACCTCAAACCTACCTTCCTCTCTTTATCTGGTTTATGATAAGCTAAGCGAGGTATTGTTATACTATTATTAAATGGGATATCTGGCAAATTTCAGCTTAGGTTTGAGAAAGATTAATTTACGGTTTAAGCCATGGACAAGTAAGGGTTAGATTAACCTAATCAAAGCGACATTAGGGCTGGTTAAAGTTAGACTACACTTAGTTGTTATAACTCCGTTGCCGATTTGTTATAACTGAAGTGAACTGAATAATTCCGTCGCTACTTTGTTATGTCTGTGTCTGTTAATTACTATAACGGTTATGCATTTGACTGGTACTCTAATACGTCTATTTGTCCGCCGTACCTTCCGATTCACTCAGCCATGCAAATATCAAAAGACAAAGGCTGGCCTGTGACTGTAAGATATTGTATTATACATCTATTAGGAAATAAAACATATTTATATATTTAATTTATCACAATACAGTCGGCTCACAACAGTGGGAATGGACTGTTCTTATTGGCTAGAAATTTCTATTCTGATTAGTTGGTGATCCGATAAAGGCCAAGGTGAGACAAAAAACGATGAATTGATCTCACACACTAAATCACAATATACGTGAGAAATGATAGATCCACATATAGTAACTGCATCACAAGATAAATCACATGATTTGTGAGAAAAGATGATATACTATTTTATGCTCTGGGTCCATTCATTAGTTTAGGGCTAGGCGAAGTTCAACAATAGCGTCCCAGGAGTGTAAAAGCTCCAATGACCTTGAACGGATGCAAGTCGTTGGCTAACGGCTTCTGTCGTTATTATGGCTGAAATACCAACGCTATTCACCAACTTAAGAGCAAATCTCACTCAGATCAAGTTTTTAAGTACTGTATGGACAATGTGTTAATAGCTCGTTAGGGTTAGGATTAGGATTAAGGTAAGTATTGGGGTTAGGGTTAGTATCAGGGTTAGAATTACGGTTCGAATAAGGGTTACGATTAAGGCTAGGATTAAGGTTAGGTTTAGTGTTAGGGTCAGGATTAAGCTTATGGCTACGATTAGGGATAGATTCACAAAAACAGTTAATCTGGAGTCATCTTGGTGAATACATGTACAGAAACTAGTCTAACTTAGCAACTGATACTCCTCGTTACAACTAGGACGTATTTTTAAGCCATATCAGAGAAAGATAACCTGTTTAATGCGTTTTCAAGCATTTTCTTGTCAATATACATCATTTTTTGAGCAAACATTCCTCCTTTTTAGGATTGGTCAGTTGAAGGTCACTCGTGCGTTCGCACTCCTGGATTGCTATTGTTGAACTTTGCCTAGGGCTATTTTCACGTTAGGGTTAGGTTCAGGAAAGATTAGGGTTATTGTCAGAGTCATAGTGTGACTTTATCAAAGCAAATTTTACCCACAATGGAATTATACTCTTTTGATACTCCAGCCAAAAATTTGAAAGCTACTTTTATCACATGGGAGAGGAAGGCAGCCTCTGCTGTAACACTTTTCTACAGTTTTTATGCATTTTTTTCATAAATATATGTATTCCATGCACAAAAATGCTTCCTTCACGTGATTGGTGCATTCAAGGTCATTCGGTGATTGGTAGTTAGTGGTGCTTAAAGTTTAAGTATGCCTAATGAAGTACAAGCAGATACTATAGTGGTGGTGTGATACAGACAATGGGTTCCAATGGAATATTATTCTCACAGTAAGAATCACTGTATTTGTTGGTGTTATCGTCTTAGTACTATTCGCACACTTCAATAGTGCATTATCAACATAGTACCATATATCTACTATTTCAAAATTCTATTTCATGCCGTTTAATGTAGTAAACCAAAATCACAAGCTTAGTGACTGGTTAAAGAATATAAACTGTATAAATATAAATAGCCGTTTGATCACTTGAACAAAATATACCTTGGCTTCCGTGTCTTGACTTTTGCTGTTTGATGGGACTCAGCGCATAAGGTAGTGTATCGTCCTTTTTCACGCATATTGTGATTTACTGTGTGATCAATTCATCATATTTTGTCTCCCCTTGGTCTTTGTCGGATAGCCAACCAATCAGAATAGCTATTGCCAGCCAATAAGAACAATCCATTCTTACGGCTGTTAGCCGCGATTGTATTGTGGTAAAGAAAATGTATAGGTATGATGTGTTGTTTACTTATAGAGATATACAGTGTCTTAGAGTCACAGACCAGCCTTTGTCTTTTCATATATACGTGCGGCTTTGTGAAGCTGGAGGTAGAACACACGAATAGGTGTATTAGCGTACCAGTCGAGTCCATTACCGTTATAATAATGAGCAGTGGCGCAGGCATAACAAACTAGCGACGGATTTGTTCAGTTCAGTTATAACAGATTGGCAACGGAATTACAACACTCTTACAGTATCATATACTTTGCAGTTCAGATTACCGATTTAAAAAGTTTTTAAGTTCTTTCCTGACATCTGACTATCTCTTCACACAAAATCCGTGCTAAGTAATATGGTATGGTAGAATTTCGAGAGTCAGTTGTATGCGGATAAATTCATACGAAGTTTCTTTTGGCTTTACGCAAAGAGATATGTTATGACTGGAACTACCACCTAGTGGACCATAAACGAATAATAACTTAATGCGTTGGCTAATCTCTCCAAATCGCAAGTCAACAACAACAGTAACACCGCCGGGACGCAAAGACAGAATTAACACTGGACATTGTATAAGAGATCTTTTGTTGCCTCAAACAACAGTCAAAAACGTTGACAACGCTTGCGTGTATATATATATATACGTTTAAAATGACCTTGAAAGCCACTAATGTCATTGACAAATTAAGACAGTGAACAACCAATAGAATTTCAAGGATCATAAGTAGCATGAGAGAAATACAAAAGGACATGTAGAAAATTAGGTCTGTTTACATCAAGATACAAGGTGAAAGTTGAGATTAAAGAGGATGTTCGGTATCAGACTGGATAACTAGCCAAATGCTTCCACCATTTGCACAAATTGTCGTGTTGTGGTACTTCTGGACTTCATGTTGTGCTTCTTTGTGTTATTTTCACATCTCCCATGTTTCTCCACAACGCTTTACCATTTGCCCTCTCTGACATCAGATTTATCTCCTTGATATTTGATGTTTTTTGTGCCGACGAATGTCTCTTTATATACTACTGATAAATCTTATCAGTAGCACTCGCCACAATATGATATAGTCATTTTTCAGAAGTCCAGGGAAGAATAAATAAGGCAACCAAAAAGAAGTAGAATGGGCAGAATGCATGAATCAATAAATTGTAAGAGAAGGGGTGAGGTTGAGTGTCATGTCGGCAGAAAGTCTCAACTTCTTTATTGTGTAATAAGTCAAACGAAGGAATCAACAGGATATGAGATAACCAACCGAAGAGCTTCGAAGACGATCTGATACCGAAATAGATGAAAGAGGTATACGATTTACTACTCCCCATCATCACAGTCCCGTAAATATTATTACAGGAATCGTGCGATTGAATCAGCCAATCCATTGTGGATAAGATTTTATTTCGATAAATCACAGTGTTGTACAGTAATATTAACTGATCACCACGTTTCAAGCATAAACTATTGCTCATAATCATATCAAGTTACTCACACAACTTCTTTCCTTCATTTATATTCATGTGTGGAATCGATTAGATATTGGAATAAAATTCAATATAAGATAATGTACATTCAGACATAATAATAATAATGTGAGTGTTATCAATCAAGTACAATCAGATAGGAAATAAGACGAGTGTTTCTATAGTCATAATAAGTTACTTGTTCGAATGTTTTGATGTGTTTGAATTGAAATAGAATTTTATGATTATTTATCATCCTTCCCTGATTTGACTGGTGGCAATGATACGAGTGTTATTGATCAATTACACTTAGATGGGAAATAAAACGAGTGTTTTTATAGTCATGATGAGTTACTTCTTAGAATGTTGTGATTTGCTTGAATTGAAATAGAATATGAAGATTATTTATTATTCTCTTCTGATTTGACCGGCGGTAATAGTATCTTCCATATTTCTGGCAGTTGCATTGAGTCATTTCTGTTGCACGTGTCGGGTGTAGACTCAATGAACAAGGATTCCGTAATCAACCTCCCTCTCCACCTACTTATGTTACTCTTTGGAATTTTAACCGTATCCCACCCTATTGTGTGGTTGTTTGTTAATGCGTGAAGTGCAATTGCTGAGCATTTTTCTAAATTACTTATCTTTTCAGGGTCAACCATTCTTATCTTAGCTAAATTCTTATGTTCTGATAATCTGACTACCCCTGACCTACTAGTTTGACCTATGTAGTTGACTTCACAGTCATTGCAAGGTATTTCATAAATTATATTATTTTGTCTAATTGGGTCAACTGTGTCCTTTATCCTACAGAGCTTGTCCTACATGAGTGAGTTTGTAGTTTTGAATGCCACCCTAATTCCTGCTTTATTAAGAATCCCACGTAGGGCCTCAGATGTCCCCTCCTTATATGGTGTTACAGTGGATGACTTATATTCTCTCTCGTATTATTATTTCTGAATGTAAATTATCTCATATTGAATTTTATTCCAATATCTAATCGATTCCACTCATGTAAATAAATGAAGCGAGAAAGTTGTGTGAGTGAGTGACTTGATATGATTATGAATGGCAATAGTTTGTGTTCGAAACGTGGTCATCGGCTAATATTACTGTTTAACAACACTGTGTGATTTATCAAAATAAAATCTTATCTATTATGGAGTTATACTCTACCACAGTGCCCAAGTTTTATACTTATATCAAAAATCAGCCAGTCCACGGAAGTCTTGTTCACACAACTGACTGAAACCTCCTCCTATTGGAACACTAGTCATTTTATTGCTTAAAGTTTTTATACAATATTTGCTTTGTCATATTTGGTTGTTGCTTTTTTATTTTACTATTGTAGATATAATTCACGAAAGATTGGCTCAATTTCTATTGTTATTCGACAATCATAAGCTTAAATTCAACATTCCAGCTTCTAATTTATAGAATAAATACATTGTGACAATAATAACAATAATAATAATGATAATGACAATGATAATCCCTTTTTGTTTATAATCTTTATTCGTTGGAGAAAAATAATTACCCCATAATGAAAAGCAGCTACTTCTTCTTACAATGTGTTTATTATATACAGTTTGATTTTATTTAATTAACCATGTTATTTTGACACTGTTACACGCACGCTTCTGTTTTTTTCATCACGCATCGATATCGGTTACAGAAGTACTGAGTGAGTACTGAACAGGTGTTTCGTCCCAGTTTGGCACTCTTAAGCAGAACGCACTCACTACTCCACTGTCAAGAAAGAATCAGACACACAATTCCATTATGGGTAAAATTTGTTTTTGATAAAGTCTCACAGCGTGTTATACAGTAAGTAATATTTACTGAAGACCACCACGTTTCGAGCACAATTTATCATTGCTCATAATCCCAATATCAAGGTACTCACTCACACAACTTTCTAACTTCTTTTTTATAATTCCATTATTTTCCACCGCTTGATTTGATTGGTAGTAGTATTCTCCATATTTCCGGTATAAGTGATGAGTCATTCGTATTGCGTGTGTTGGGTGTAGATTCGATGAAGAAGGATTCAGTAATCAACCTCTCTTTGTCTCCACCTACTCGTATTACTTATTAGAATTTTAACCGTCTCCCATCTTCTTGTGTGGTTGTGTGTTAATGCATGCAGTGCGATTGTTGAGCTTTTTTCTAAATTACTTATCTTCTCGGGGTCAACCATTCTTACCTTAGCTAAATTCTTATGTTCCGACAATCTGACTACCCGGGACCTACTAGTTTGACCTTTGTAGTTGGATTAACTCAAGGTATTTTGTAAATTATATTTTTTTTAATTGGGTTCACCGGGTCTTTTAGCCTACAGAGCTTGTCTCTGAGTGAGTTTGCCACCCTAATTCCTGCTTTATTGAGAATCCTACGTAGGGAGGGTTTCAGATGTCCCCTCCTTATATAGTAGAACTGTAGATGTCTTACATTCTCTCTTGGTTATGTTATCATTACTAATTTCACAATTATTTTTATTTTGCTTTTGGCCTTTTCTGATCTTCCTAATGAATTTGATACCAACGCTTCTTCTATCTGTTTTATTTCATCATTTAGGTCTTTTCGTGAAGTACTTAGTTCTACTGCTCGGTTTGTTAGACACTTAACTAAGTCTGCCTTAACAATTAACGGATGAGATGAATTAAAGTCTAAATATCTATTAGAATGCGTTGGCTTTTTATAAACGCCAGTGTGCAGTTTACCTTCTTCTATTCGTTTTATTTTACAATCTAACATCACAGCTAATTCTCCTTGTTCATTTTCTGATTCAAACGTGAATTTTATTCCCTCCACTAGTGAGTTTATATGCGTGAAGAAGCTAGAGATATGTTCTGTTTTTAACACTGTGTGTGAAATTACCATCCACATATCTCCACTATATTACGTTTGGAGTAGGATTAAATGTATCAAGATCACTATTTTCTCAGCTGTCCATGAAGATATCTGCTACGATAGGGAATATAGGTGACCCATCCCATTGCTGCACCATCTGTTTGTCTATATATGGAGAATACTACTACCAATGAAATCAAGCGATGAAAAAATAATGGAATTATATAAACGAAGTTAGAAATTTGTGTGAGTGAGTACCTTGATATTGGGATTATGAGCACCTATAAATTGTGCTCTAAACGTGGTCATCAGTAAATATTGCTTACTGTATAACACTGTGAGACTTTATCAAAAACAAATTTTACCCATAATGGAATTATACTCTACCACAGTGCACAAGTTTTATTCTTATATCAATCAGACACACATAGGTTATGAGAGGAGCGTGTTGACCATTCAGCCAATCGAACGGAGTCGAATGGCTCATCAGTTGTAGCTTCTGCCAACCTGCAATTGTCAACGCCACCGCCAGCCAATATTATCGGCGTGTTTGCTCTTATACCCGACCTGGTGGACTGCACTGGTCACGGATTTCCACCAGAACTCCAGGCAACATCATCCAGTAGTCAGTTACTATTGAGTATCAGATTAATTTTCGAGCGTTAGTTTGCAGAGATCTGATTGGTTTCAAGTTTGTTGAGGGATTGATATCAGTTAGAGACAATACTGGAGAGTTGTTTCTGCCTAGTATTTCTAGTTTCTAGTATCTTCATTTAATGATCGTCTGGCCAGATGTTGCGTCCTGATAGTCCGGGACTCTTCAGTAGTGGGCACCCAGAGGGGTTCGAACTCAGGACCTTCCAGTTACAAGGCGAACTGTATTTGCACAAATTGCAGAAATTAGACAGTGTTATAGATACAAAACAACTGATGTGATTTAACGCATAAGTAATAGACCCCACTATAAGGTTACTCTTATTAATTGCCTGTGTTCTCAATAGAACATATTGCTTCAGGAATAGTCTACATCACTACACGTGACTCAAATTGAATGTCAAGGATTTCGTGAGTTGACTCCAAGTTTTGGTTTGACCACTTCTAACTCTCTTCCAACCTAATCCGACGTCAGCTAACACTTCCCGTTGAGGAAGGCAGTGGCTCGTCGTGCGCAACACGCATCCTAGCCGTCTCAATCGATGAAGCTTCACAACCAGATCGATTGACTAACCCGCCTAACATCAATCTTACCTACTATGAACTTAAAACTGTATATTGACACTTTGATTGACAATAGGTATCCAAAAACATTCATGGGGAAAAATATGACCAAGAAAGTCGAAAAGAAATTTTTCTGTATCCTGTAAACAAGAAGCCTCTCCATATGCGATTGTAACTTAGAGGTGACGTACGTAGTGGGCTGATAGCCCATAAGTTAAGAAAATCAACTCAAAGAACTTTTAGTGCCGGTAAATTGCAGCGCCTGGTTGTGATCCCCAAACTGGCAGATGACATATTCACGCTTACTGTCTCTTCCTGTATCTGTCGATCTGACTGCTCCCGTGAAACTAGTTACATCAGCTGTTGCTCTAGGAACTTAATTAATTTTTCAAATAAATTAAAATTGTATTTCAATAGATTTACACTGATAAGTTTTTGTTTTGGTTATATTTCGAGCATAATAACTGCCAATGACCACATCAACAACTGTTAGAATTGTTTTATTTTTTTAATTTATGATTTGTAGTCATACGTATAGTTCATCCATTTTTGTGTATCCAAAATTATACTTCATGTTCTCGTCACATATAATGAACGTGTTATCCACGTATCTCTTGTAGAAGTTAAGCCCCTTTATAGCAGGTGTGAGAGTATTGCTCTCCATAGTAGCGAAAAAGAAATCTGTTAGCAACGGACCAAGTGGCGAACCCATAGTTACCCCACTTCTCTGTCTATAGATTTTATTGTTGAAAAGAAATTGGACATTCAGGGTATATCGAAGTATGAGCTCTTTTAGGTATGATGTCGGCATTCCTACGTTTACATTGTGTAAGTCTATGTAATTACAAAACGAAGCAGTGGTAAAAAGTGATCATATAATTTCTGCAGTAACAATAATACCATTAACGTAATTAACAAATTCAAAAGTGCCATACAAAGAATAGGCACATACTTGCCAAATCAAGTGGAGAAATTCCCGAAACGCCATGAAAAATATGTTTTAAACTGCTTCTCGATGAATTTGAGTCGTATTCAGATGGAAATATTATCGCATAGCTCGAAATTCTGTATCCCTCAATCAAATGAAACGACAGTGCACGATCAGGTGCAGTTTGAAAATCTGATCGATCCGAGAAAGGACCTAACCTCAAAGACCTAAATGACTTCAAGTCATCAGTGCTAAATTGTGCTCATCAGTTTATGAAATCAAAACCGAAACTGGTACAGCATCTCACGAAGGAACATTTCATTCAGCTGAAGGAGTTGAAGGAAAATGAGAACATCTTACTAACACGACCAGATAAAGTTGCAGGGATCGGAACGATCATTTTGACAAAATGCAAAACTGTTAGATAAGACAAAATTTCAGAAACCTGGACGTGAGAAGAACAAGCCAGAATGAAAAATGATTCATTATTGACAGCCAAGCTATATGAAAGGTTAAGACCTTCGGGATCAATTCAATCATTCCTCGACTCTATGGCCTGCCAAAACTCCATAAATCTGGATTACAAATGCATCCATTTTAGATATGCCAGGGTCACAGTATCATTATGTCGCAAAATGGGTAGGAGAACTCTTGGAACCATTAAGAAGGCAAGTGTGTGTGCCTACTTTTTTGTATGATATTTTTGAATTTGTTAATTACGCTAATGATATTAATGTTACTGGGGAAACTATGTTATCGTTTAAAAGAATTGAATTTGAGATTTTCCCGTCGATTGATTGGGCCGAAGTGCTCGGTCTCAGGTCGACTTTTCGGCTTCTTGTGCAGATGCTTCGACGATGTCTGGGCATTTAAGTAGAATTTAATTTGTGGATGGTGACTAGCAGTGGAATCCAGGACAACGCGCATTTCGTCCTATTCGGGACTCGTCAGCTGGATGTACCTGCATTTCCCAGTAAGTGATGATGTTCCCACCGAGGCTCGAACCCAATGCCCTTAGTTTCAAATGCCAAAGCGTTATCCAATATATCACTTGGGCCACGAGAGCCTCCTCTTGTGCAACGAAGCCGACATGTCAGCCTGAGACCGAGCGCTTCGTTCCAATCAATCGACGGGGAAATCTCAAATTCAATTAAATCAATATGACCCGTTGCACAAGAGGTGGCTGTCGTGGCGCAGGTGGTTTAGTGGATAACGCTTTGGCGTTTGAAACTAAGGGCACTGGGTTCGAGCCTCGGTGGGAACATCATCACTCACTGGGAAATGCAGGTACATCCACTGGCTGACGAGTCCGAAATAGGACGACATACGCGTTGTCCTGGATTCCACTGCTAGTCACCATCCACAAATTAAACTATGTTATCACTTGATATATGCTCACTTTATACCACTGTTCCATTAAATAAAACTGTATGCTTCGTTTGTAATTACATAATAAAAACGTAGGAATGCCGACATCATACGTAAAAGAGCTTATACTTCGAATGTTCAATGTACTCAAGGTGGCTGACAGTTTTGCTGAGTCGTTCTTGTTACAGATATGTGGTGTGACCTTAATGAATACATATTACGTTATTAGTCTTTCCATTTGTTCATATTAGATTTCAGAATAGAAATCTTGTCCCAATCAGTATTGTGGCTTTTATCCCATGCATGTACAGCTGTAGATGAATTTTTGTCGAAATTGTTGTAAGCTTGTGTTCCCGTGGGATGACACCTTTAGTTAGGCGTTAATGTTCATTCACTCTTATTTTGAGTGATCTAGACTTTTGACCCACACATTTAGTCGGATATTTAGCACAAAATATTTTGTAAATTACACTACTTTGATCCATCATTTGTATCGGATCTTTTAGTTGATCTACTTTATTTCTAATTAGATTCGTTAGTTTAGAGGTGGTACGAATCCCAACATTTTTGAGGTTTCTTCGAATTGCCTCTGATATTGTTTTGCCATCCTCTTTCTTGCCATTCTCTGGTTTTACCCTCTTCTTTATATTATCTCTGATAAATTCTTTTTGGGTAGCTGTTGTCGAGTGACATTTTGAATAACACGTTTATTTCATTTCGTTGGTCATTTGGTGTTGTTCTAAGTCTGCGTATTCGTACACGGAAATATTTACCAGTTTGGTTAAATAAAGGTGTAGTAAAAGCCACTTAACGGTTAGATATGAGATCATCTGGTCCAAACAGGACATAAATGCAATAATGAAGAGATGTTCTCTATCATCTGTCGCGTAACAAATACATTACAAAAAGCTTACTTGATGCTATTTAAAATATTGGCTGAATGGCATACAAGTTCGCCTTGTAACCCTAAGTTCGATCCCTAACGGCGGGGTCATGAGGGCGTACTCTTGAAGAGCCCCAAACAGGGACGAAACGGCTGTTCACTACTCTGTGCTAGTTCCCTAAATGAATTCAACCGGTGATGAAAATTAAAATCAATCAAATCCCTACAAACCAACACAATTGAAGGTAACGAATCCTTAGCGATTCTTGAATTATAACCAACGCTCCTACATAACATATCTCTACTTCAAACTAGTAGAACACAAATACAAACTCATGTTCAACACAAGCCGACGACGAAAACGTAACTACTTTCCATGAAATAACTGAGTTCAGTGACGCAATCATTGTTTGACGACTGAATAAAACTATCCAGACTGAATGAAGTAGGTGGTGGCCGTGTGGGCAGGATTCGAACCTGGAACACAACGCGGCTTAAATTCGAATGGTTAAGTCAATGGAACCCAACGTCTTCTTCACTTCTTCCTATGCAATATAAGTAGATACAAAGATCTGCTTTCCCCACTAATTGAGTTAAAATAGAGCCTATTTAAGCTTTAACTATAAGGTAGGTGTGTGTATATATTTCATCAGCATATATATACAAAGACAACAAAGCAAGAAGAGCAGCTAAAAATAATTCATTTATTAAAACAAAACCTTATATAATTGCAAATATGTCATAGTATGTACAAGTACAAAAATAACAGTAATATTAAATATCTTCTCTAGTATGTGTAAATATAAGATAAAGTCAGCAGGCTCGAATGACAATGTCTGTATGAAGTAGTAGTAATAAAGTACCGTTCTATGAACTGTCGGATGATGATAACCATGATAATATGGTCTAAAATTAAAATAAAAATCAATTTACAAATCAGTGACATCAAGAGTGAGAAATCATTAGAGAATCACATTTCCTGTGGCTATCGAAACACACCCCAAGTTTGTTACTTACTTGTCAACAGCACCAATTAAGTTACAATGAGAATAAAGACACCAAAATGCAGAAAAAAATATTGAGATTTCAGCCTGCAATAATCACTCTGACAAGGAAGTTAAGATGCATATTTACCATAAGTTATACTAACCCCCTCCTCCAAAAAAACAAACGCCGATCGATAGCTGCTACCTCCTTGACGTGGTGGTCGTGTTTCCATTACCGCAATGACCCAAACAAGCTACACTGGCTGGAACTATTGTTCCTGTAGGTCCTACTATGCTTGGAAGGATGTTAGAATGGTGATTAAACTAAAAGCAGTTACCGGTGTAGTGCTATGCTGAGGGTCCGTGGGTAAAATCAAACTTCTGGGGAACAGGAATGCAACAGCAGAAAGGTGTTCCCCTCAGATGACCAGCATGCCAGCTATGGCTTCTCTACACTCTGCAGAGAGGGGGTTAGAAAAAGTTAACCCCAGAAATTATACATCCCGACTTACCCTACGGTGGTCCGTAACCGGCAGTAAATTTACTAATGCGGAAACAACTCTAAAATCCAGTTAAAACACTCAGCTTTCACGGTGTAGGCAGCCGGGAAGTGACAACCACCCACACACTGCCAAAAGCACACGAAGTCCTCCTGATCATCAATCTACACTTCAAAAAAAAATGTGCTGGAACCGCCGAGAGCGGGTTCTATTCACTGGTTTCATCATGTGACAGGTGGTTGTTCTTACTAAAGTAAAAGGTCAAATGCAAGTATCTGAAACTCATCACCAAGTTAGTGAACATCGAGAGTTTTATCTAGGATAGTTGGATAACCCTGATTCCAAAACTGTGGTGAGTACGGGCTCCGAAACCCGCAAGGAATAAATGACTTATGAACCCATCTTGGTTACCAGTAAACATGGCAACACCGTGTAGGTTACAATTTAAGTCAAAAGATTCGGGGGAGTAGCTACGTCAGTGCATAACGGCTGCCTATCTGGATGAAGTGTTACAGTTCATGCGACTCAGTAGACCCAGTCAGATCATTAACTGATGTCGAATTTCGACCACATCATCTATGGAGGGACACAATGAATTGGTACGCGTAACACATGCCCTAACCAAGTCAATCAATGGAACTTCAGAAACTTATTAATTAGCTTCGCCTCTTTATCTAACAATCAACACTTAACCCTAACACGCCAACTCCACCGAAAACACGAGCTATGGTTAAAAACTCTTAGTCTTTCTACATATTTCAGTTTCAGTGGTCGTGTCTCACAGTTGTGAAGCAGAACAGAAAAAAGTATGGTGCAGTACACATACTCATTGCTTGATATCACACTAGCATCAAGATAACGACGCAACGTAGCAAATGCTATACAAATCTCTTGTGTATCCGTGAGGAAATTTCATCAGCAACCAGTCAATTAGAGACCTGATGAAATTCCCCAAATGAAGCTGTCAACACACCCAACCATTTCACTCTTTATCCTTAAAGTGGGAGTCGGTGTAGACTAGTCAGTCCTTTAGAAACATTTCAATTTTGATAGGGGGAATTACAAGCCACACATGATTTGACTTCTGTACTGAAGACTTAGCATCTTGCCAGCATCTTCAACCAGGAGAACTATATCATGGGCATATTCTGAGTCAACGAGATCATTCCCTGATGATAACAAGTCAATCCCTGAGTCGCTGAAGTCAGTTAGGGTCAAGTCCATTAGCACATGTATGATGAAACTAAACAGAAATCTGGATAATGGGCACGCCTGACTGACGCCACTTCAGATAACAACTCTCCGCAGGCTCTCACCTGGCTGACTGCATGAATTCGAGTAGAGTGCCTTGATCAGTGCAATACATTTTCTCGACATTCCCTTCACAGCCAAATATCGCCATAGTACCTCTCGGCCAACTGAATCGAATGCCGCTTTCAGGTCAAGAAATATGACGACTGTTGGACGTCGGTAAGTACGCCTACGTTCCAGAATCTGTCTAAGGCCTACCTGGTTCTCTTGTGTTTGTTCCTCCTGAGCACCACTTAGTCTACGCATGATTATTGAGCCTAGAACTTTCGATATCATATTGGTCAAGCTGATCCCACTATGATTATGACAGGAAGACGTGTATCCCTTCTTGTACATCGGGATTATCAATGACTTACACCAATCTGATGAGAGTTCCTCTGATTCCCAGACGCTGCCTAGTACCTCAGTTAACGCAAGCAGTACACCTGGAATCGAGTACTCTACAATCAGCTTATTCATCAACTCAAAGTCTAGAGGTGTTATATGGATGACATTTTTATCATTGCTGATGGAAATATTGATCTAAATAAAATTCTTGAATCATTTAATAACACTACTCATCGATGAATTAGTTTTATTTTCTAGAAGTTGAGTGAAGAGGAAAGCTCTCCTCACTTAGGTGTTCAGCTTTCGATGAGAAATGATGGATTAGTTCAGACATCCATACATCACAAACCAAAATGGAACGAGCAGCTAACTAAATTCTACAGTTGCATTTCATTAGGTAAAGAAATAAACTTTATCAACTCCCCTCTTACTCACGGAAGGCAACACTAAACAGAGAAGAAAGCAGAGTCTTCACGTAACACTCTAACTCAGAATGATTAGCCACCAGCATTCATCAATAAACATCTGAAACATAAGGCAGATAACCCACACACAAAAAACAGAAGACCAAGGTAAACGTTAGTGATAGACTTGAAATTCAAAGGTAACACAACAGCTGAGGACTGAAGTTCTTCGATGCAGATTAGCAAGAGCGATTCGGAAAAAAAAACATTCTTCGCCACATCCTAGCGTCTCTCATCTTCGCTGTACAACAACCTCTAATTCATCAAAACGGCAAAGACAATGTTCCACTGTTGGCAACATCCATGTGCACACACCAATTCATCACTTGCTCTCCTGGAGAACGAAGTACATAGGTCCTACCAACAGGATAATTTCTAGACGCGCACAAGAACATCTCCCAGTACGGTTGTCGAAAGGAGAAACTGGACGAATCGATAGCTCAATTTTCGAGCACACTGTTCGTAAAAATCATTCGGCACCAACCGGTAAATCTTTCCAAGTGACATATAAGGTAATGGCCAAGTTGTTCGACAAGGTTGCGGTTGTATCGTCTGTTCACAGTGGAAGCTCTTGCTTTACACAAGGAAAATCCTGAAAGGTGTGTGTACAGAACAGGTTTATCCAATCCCTTTTCATATATTCTGACCTTAAACCTTCTATAACTCGTGCAATAACTTGGTATGCTATCGATATTCACTCAGTTTTTGTCTTCACCTCCTGACTTTATAAATATTCTGAATTTCTTACTCTCTTGAACAATGTTCTTGTTTCCAAGCTCTTGAAATTTTTAATTTTTTTTTAATGATAACCATTTTTGAGCGATGTTCATCTCTTATATTGTTTCTACATTATGTAACTCATTATTTTGCTTGATATGTAAACCCATAGGTTTTGTTACCAACTGATATGAGCAATTTTACCATATATCAAGTTTTGACCACACATTGAACCCTTCAAAACCAGCTTGGGAGTAATGGAAAGTTGTTTCCTCACACTAGTTTGGTACTCATCGACAGAACGCATCTACCGTCAGGTTCAAACCCCAGAACCTCCCGTTTACAAGACGAGCTCGTAGACCATTCAACCACTAGGACCCGACTGAATGGCTAACTCATGAATTCTAAATTCTACCAATTCGTGACATATTTAGCGCAACCACCATTGGCGAGTATTTTGTACTCACTCCTGACATTAGAAATATCGATCAATCAAAAGCTCAGACTGCACAAAACATCAGTAGAGAACAATAACGTACAATATTAAACCAGGGTTGAAATGAAACAGGTTTTAAGTCCTACTACTGTTATATGCACAATGTGCGTTGGTGGCACGGTGGTAGAATACTCGCCAAACATGCCACATGTGACCCGGGGTTCGATCCCCCACCGACACATTCCTTTACCTCGCTAAGCTAATAATTAGACTGGTAAAGAGGGAAGGTTGGGCATGAGGCTAGCAACCCCATCCCGTAAAAGTGAGTACCACTGCTACCGTAGCTTCAAAGCTGTAGCTTGAAGCCTTACATATATATATATATATATATTGTGCGTCAGTGGCACAATGGTTAGGACGCTTGCCGACCATGCACATGGTTCGGGGTTCGATCCCCTACCGACGCATTCCTTTACCTCGCCAAACCAGTAATAAAAAGCCGGTAAAGAGGAAAGCTTGAGCATGAGGCTGGCAACCTCATCCTGTAAAAGTAAACACTTCCACAGAAACTTCAGGCCTCTATCTTGAAGCCCTATGTTCCACTGGGAACGTGAAGGAATATATATATATATATATATATATGTATTCGAGCTAATATTAACTCAGCCTTAAGAGAGACATGAAGAGGCGTGAAGGGAATTTCTAATGAAAACCACTAATAATAATTTCCAATAGATGCAAATAAAAAAGGCTAAAAAAAGTTTAATATGAAATTTTAAAACAAACATACCTCATCATCTACATTATGATTAACACCCAGCACATGTCCTTGATTCATAACAATACTCTGTTCATAACGTTTATCCAGTTTTGGTAAGGATAAACGACCAGATCTTGTACGACCTAACTGTCTAACGTCGACTACTTTACCTAGAAAGTAAGATAAAAGCAGGTATATGAAGCAGATTACTAATCATTTGTTTTTTTCCAAAATATGATGATAACCCCATAACAGTTACAGAAATATTAAATAGAATCCGAATAGTTGAAATCTACCAGGATGCAATTCCGTGGAAAAAAATCAACGGATAAATATCAATGCAATGAAGTTAAAATTATAATGTTCAACCTAGTGATAGAGAGAGCTTCCTGTGCTTTCGGTGGTGAATGTGGGCGATTGTTACTTCCCCAGCTGCCCACATTGTGGTAGTTGATTTTTTCCTGAGGTGAGGTGTCTAAAAGAGAAAGAGTGTTGCGTGACCGCAGAGCCCGGGGGACAATTTGCTTGAGACCAGTTACAAACACACAGCATGTTTAAACTGAATTTTAGAGTTGTTCCTGTATTAATAACTTACCACCGGCTACGAGACACCATATGGTAAGTCGGATGAGATGGCAAGTGGTGAGGCAGCATACAGTTAGCATGCTTCTCCTTTGAGGGAAACACACACCTTACTGCTGTTACACCTCTGTTCCTTTGCAGTACCACTTTGGCCACAAACCCTCCAGAATAGTGTAAACATTTTACACGATGTCAGTAACTGCTTTTGAGCTAGTCGCTATCACTGTGATATGTAAGTCCAGCCACCACAACAAGATGATAACAGATACTGCCAACAAGGTCAGCGTATGTAAAGTGGAGTAATACCCATTATACGTTCACTCTTTCTTTTAATACTACTTAATAAATTAAAAAACACAAATTTAGTACATTATGGGCGACAAAAGATGCGCTACATAAAATCACATAGTTCATGAGAGGGTTTCAATACTGGCCAGGCTACCTAAACCTGTGTTTCCACGGAGGCGCCAAACCAGCACTCACTGGGGGAATGCAGGTACATTCATTTGACAAGTCCTAAATAGGACGACATGCACACCTTGGATTCCACTGCTTGTTATCAACCATCAAATTACTTCAAGTGAAATCTTCAGACATCGTAGAAGCATCCGCACAAGGAGCCGACAAGTGAACAGAGGCCAAACACTTCGATCCAACCAATCAACGGGGAAGTTCGAACTGAATAAAGTAATTTACCTTTAATTATTTATTACGTAGTTGATTTGGACTCATTTATTTCTTAATTATTCCTTAAAGTCCCGAATGGAATATAGGGCTTCAAGCTTCTGCTTCAGGAGTTTCGGTAACAGAGGTTTTATTTGTACAGGATGAGTCTGCTAGTCCCACGCCTAACCTTTCCTCTTCAACGGCCTTACTACCGACCTAGGAGAGGTTTAGGAGTGCACTGGCTGGGAATCGAATCCCGGACCACGCGTGTGGCGTGCTTGGCAAGCGTTCTACCGCTGAACCAGCAAAGGACTTCTCTTATTTTTCCGACATTATGCATTGTGTAATCCATTAGTTTAATCTTTACGATTATTTCTACCCTTTTGATTGTTGCATTAATTTCCATTGGCTAACTACCACCACCACCACCACCCGCTTGACATATTGGTATCAACTAATTATTGTTAACAAACTCATTACCCCTAGGTTCGTATACACTACACCACAATCATAAATGGTGATCTAATTGAAAAGTGAATATTTCTTCGGTAAATCCTTTAGTCCTCTGAAAGAATAATAAGCATCTTATGTTAAAACACTCACATTTTCGATATAAGAATAGAACTTGTGCACTATGGTAAAGTATAATTCCATTATGGATAAAATTTTACTTTGGTAAAGTCACACATTCTTATACAGTAATATTTACTGATGACCACGTTTAGAGCACAATTTATTGGTGCTCATAATCATATCAAGGTACTCACACAACTTTCTTGCTTCATTTATATATACATGGGTAAAAGACCACGTGGCCTCACTGCCTCATCTTCAACCTGCTGTACCCTACTGGTCACGGCTTCCCACTAGAACCCCAGGTTACCTGCCTGAATAAGGCCAGTCACTAGTGAGCATCAGATTAGTTTTCAAGTATTGCTTTTGTAGGGATTTTGTTTGATTGCGTGGAGGATTTCATCATGAACTGAAGAAGACATTGCGAAATGGTCGCGCTATGTCGTGAATTGGCAGAAGTTAGAATTCAAGGACCATTGGATCGGGTCCCAGTGACTCAATGGTCTACGAGCTAGTTCGCCTTGTAACCAGAAGCTCCCGGGTTCGAATCGCGGTGGGTGCGTGCTGATGAAGAGTCCCAAACTAGGATGAAACAGCTGTCCAGTACTCCCAGGTTTTCCAGTGGTTCTCTAACTGATGTCAGCTCATGATGAAATCCTCCATGCAATCAAACAAAATCCCTACAAAACCAATACTTGAAATAATAAATGATGGTACCATTTTATTCTGCAAAAAACTCTTATTCCTTGCTTTATTCAAATTCACTAGGGGAAATAAATGTATGAAGATTAAAAAGTACTGCATGCAGCAGCAGTTAGTCAAACTGCAATCCCAATAAGTGGATATGTGGCTGCTCACTCACTAATTTAAGCACTCGACTTGCAATCAAATTGATCCCCTACCCTAGTTCAAATCCTGCTGCCCATAGCCCTACTTCAACCTCCCTTAATACACAGCCCTCACATACTCCGGGAACTTGAGGAAAAATAATCAATACTAACCTGAAGCTGTATACAATCGATAGCGTTCATCAATATCACTAGGATCATCATCATTCGTTTGATTCCTTCGGTGTTTTTGTGAGACAACACCATTTTTGGCTTTATTATTATTATCATAATCTTTGTTAGCAGCAGCATTAGGATTATTATTATTATTATTTCTACGGTGACTATTATTGTCACCACGACAATTGTTATTGTTATTCATATCACTACGTAGAAGTGACTTGTACAAGGCTCTTTCACTTTGTCTAGCAGTTTTATTTACATGATGATGACGATCATGACGACGGTGATGATGATGATGCTGATGCTGAGGATTGGTTTTCTGCATTACAACACAGTCTCCTTCTTCTTCCTCATCATCCATTTCGCCTGTCTCTTCCTCCTCCTCCTCCTCGTCCTCACCATCTTGTTCTTCTTGTTCAATTCTTACTTTTTTACTAGGTTTCCTTTTTCTAAGATTATTCGACGGTTTTTTAAATTCACAGACTTCAGATACTGATGGAATATAAGAAAAATCAGAAGTAGTAGTAGTAGTAGCAGCTGTAGTCGACAGATTGTTTTCATCCCCGGCTATACCAGAAGATTCATTAGCAATAGGTTGATGTTTCGATTTTACATTTTCTACAACAAGAAGAACAAAAAGGAACGTATCATTTCACAAAATCAGGACTGTACTGCATTGCACCGACTACTAGTTTTGAGCGTGTTGACCACTTCGTTTATATATATGTGGGAAGTTGCCCCAACCCTAATGGACTAACTGCTCCCACAAATTTTCAGCTCGTCTCTCGTATCGTCTGTTTTCGACATGAACTGCCGCACATCTGGTGCAAAGTTCTAAGTCGCCACACTCCCTCCTTGTAGCACACAAAGCAAGAGAAGAAAGTAGGAGAAATGCATATTAGAGACAGTAAACAGAGGTGTGAGACAAAGGAATAGTAATAACGAAGAACAAAACAGTTTCATTGGAAATCATAAGTCACAAGGAGTGGATGCATCTGCACCAGCCATTGAGAACGATTTTGAGCCATGTCACCAATTGTTTCCAACCATTGGTTTTTACCGTCCCGAGGACTCCAACCAGCCAGTCAGCAAATCTACACCTTCCTACGTGGTTTAGACTAACTGTTGTAGATTTCATTGACTGGTGCCATGTTTTGGTTTGACCGCCGCTAGCTCTTTTCCAGCCTGGCCCTATATCAGCTAACATTGCCCGTCGAGGAAGGCGATGGCTAGGCATACGTAGCACATGTCCTAACCATCTCAGTCAGTGTAATTTCACAGTTTCGTCGATTGATTTCCCCGCCTTACCTAGCACTCGAAGCCTAACCTCAATATTGCTCACCTTATCATACCACTTCACGCGGGAGATAGAACGCAGACACCTATGATCGAAGACAGCTAATCTTTTTATGTCTTCCACTCTCAATGGCCATGTGTCACTCAGTCAGCCATAAAGGAGGACGGAGCGGACTGATGAGCAGTACACCCGCCCTTTGGTCGATAGTCGGATATCACGTCTACGCCAGAGACGGCGTAAACTGGCATATGCAAAACTAGCCCTCTGTATTCGTGGTGAGATTTCGTCGGAGATAAACCCGTTGGGGCTGATGGTACTTCCCAAGTAATTGAAGCGGTCAACGTGCTCTACCACTTCACTTCTAATTTCTAATCTAGGAGTCGGTGTGATCCAATCCTGATACACAGATACAATAGGCTCGTGTGGCGTTTGCCGACTTACATCATCTCCAGCGTAGATATGATATCCGCCTATTCATCAAAGGACGTGTGTACTGACGTAGCAGCTCACTGTGTCCTCCTTTATGACTGTGAGGCATGGCCAATGAAGTCGGAAGACTGGAAAAGGTTAGATACCTCTGACCAGAGATATTTGCGTTCTGTCCCCTGTATCATGTGGTATAGTATGGTGAGTAATACTGGGGTTAGACGTCGAACGTTAGGCAAGAAGGTTAAGTCAATCAATCGGATTGTGATGACTAGGACACATGTTATGCATGCAGACAATGGTAGCTTGACTTAGGATTAAGTTGCAAAAGAGTTACGAGTATTCATTCGACAACTGGTTTAAGTCACCTAGGGGGGTTAGGAACCTAGGGAAGCTAAGAACCAATCGGTGGAGACCATTGGTGATATGGCTTGAAACCATTTATGAATGGTGCAGATGCATTCACTCTTTGTAATACTTTATGTCCACTAACTTCACCTATCTAGGAAGCACAGCTTCAACCACAGGAACGGATTACGATGTCAAAGCCAGGCAGAATCGGAAAGGTAAGATACGCCTTTATCAGTCTGTGAAACCAGTTCGCACTCCACCTCAGTATAAAGGACAAGATTCGGATTTTCAGCACAAATGTGAGGTCAGTCAGTTAGTGCGGGTCAGAAACTTGGCTAGCGTGTCACGAAAAGGATTTCCAACTGGTTGCAGACTTTTATCAACAGATGCCACCTTCGCTGGCTGGCTGGCTCCATCCTGGAGATCAAATGACCAGCCAGAAAGAATTAGCAACAAGAAACTCTGGCTGGAAACAAACTAACCAAGAGCCCATTGCTCAACAAACATGTAGGAGAAAATGGATATGGATTAGGCATATGCCACTAAGAAGGCCGTAGAATGACAGCGCGAGCAGTGCAGGCCATTGCTCGAGTGGAATCCAAATAGGAAGCGACGAGTGGGTCGTTGGTGCGAGGGTGATATGGAGGAGATCGTGTGGCTAAGAGGAGATGAGAGATTATGGTACCCAGCTGAAGAGGAGAGCGCCAAATAGAACGAAGTGGAGATGTGTTGTTCCAATTGGAACCCAAGGGAATAATAACGGGAATAATATCCAGTAAACCGTCATAATTTTCCATGTTACTATTCTTCTTCCCTCACACTTCTATTTATTACACTTCTTTTGAATCACTTTTTGTCTATCGTTTATTTACTTTAGTGTGCTACACGGGGTATGGTAACTTGAACTGCTGCACTTCTGTGATAAGTTCTATGTTGGAAATTAGTTAGTCAGTCAGTCAGCCAGCCACCAAAATTATGAAGCGAATTAGAAAATAAAGATAGTACAATTAACAATTGAGTATACAATCAGAAAATAATTTAAAAGTTAGTGAAACTGTCCAAACTGCTTACTGCAATTTATTCCTAACATTTCATTAATCTACAAGCCTACAATCTTTCGTACATGGATCACTCGACATCAGTCGTAGCTACAACCAGTATTCATTCGACAGCATATCTGATAAACTTTTCAGCCAGTGATCCATATGATTCCTCGAACATAATATGAAAGGTGACAAAGTACAAATATATCCTGATTCCAGTAGGTACATATTTGGACTAGATAATTATTCGTGTGCATATATCAGTCCACTTGTTGCTGTGGAACCCAGCCAGGCAGGTGTACATTTGGTCGTTTGACGCGTATCCTGTCTACTAAAAGCGTTATACAAGCACTATCCCGTATATGGTTGCTGAAAAGTAGTAATGGCTCTCTCTATAAGCAAAACGATAGTCGAACACCTTGTCAATACTGGTCATTCCATTTCAACAAACATCTCCTTCAGGGTAATTTACAAAGTAGAGAATAACCTGCAGAAGGTAGTACACGCTTTCGTCTCCTTTGTATTGCTGAAGCCTCACAGTCATTTCACGGTTAGAAAATCCAGTGTTATGCATACACATAAGAAAGCTATTCAACCACTTTCACTAGCATGGTGTAACTAGTTTGTTGATTTATGGTACCTTGGTTTTTGTTTGCTTGTCTTTCCAACTCCTCATAACTCTTGTATTTCTTCAGAACTCTTACATAATTCCATATTCTCTTTCATCTCTATGTGCATCCTGAAAGTAACTCCGGCAAAGTTAAACTTTAAGCACCACCAACTACCAATCGGCGAATGACCTCGAACGCACCAATCACGTGAAGGAGGCATTTTTGTGCATGGAACACATATATTTATGAAAAAATGCATAAAAACTGTATACAAGTGTTACAGAGGATATCTTTCTCTCACATCTGATAAAAATAGCTCTCAGTTTTAGGTTGGTGTATCAACAGAGTATGACTCCAGTAACACATACTGGATAATAAACTGTACGCGAAACGTCATCAGCAAATATTACTGTATAACACTGTGAGACTTTATCGGAAAAAATTTTACCCACAATGGAATTATACTCTACCACTGTGCACAAGTTCTATTTTTATATCAACAGAGTAATTTAACCACATTCTATGCATGTAATTATTTGGGTCTTCTAACCCTAACAATAAGCTTAATCTTTCCTAAAACTAGCTCCAACGTGAAAATATGCCTGAACTAAACCCTGATTTAACTTGAAATAACCTTAATGTCACCTTTAGTAGGTTAACCTAAAACTAACTTATCCTTGGCCTAGACTGTAACTTAATCTTTCCCAAACCTAAGCTGAAACTTCCCAGATATCCCATATAATAATCTAACACTTCGAAGAGCATGTTTAATTGATGATGACAACATTACTTGCCAGGTTTCACTAACTTGCTCGGTGAGTGTTTCAAGGTCAGTGGTGCGATCGCGCTCCATTGGTGGTTAGTGGTGCTTAAAGTTTAACTTGGCCGTAACTCCATTCATTAAACTATTCATCTTATTGAGTAACTATAATACACCTATTCAACTTCTTTTATGCATTGACTAACATTAACAACAACTATGCTTGTGACAGTTTATCACTCCTGTTAATACCCTCTTTCATGAAAAAAAGAGTTGTATGTAAATGCAATTATACAGCCAAAAAGAGCCTCTTCACCAACGAACCAAGCGTGTGTTTTTTTGTTTTCACTAATGTCTGGATGGGGATTATCCATGAATTGGATGGAATTATTATTTAAACGCTTAGGAAAAAACTTGGTACGATATGGCACCAAGAAAGATGCGCCACACAATAATAATAAAACAACACAGATTAAAAGTAAAAATATAAGTAGAAAACGGATAAAGAACTTCAGCTGGAAGGAAAACAGTCATGTTTAACAAGTTCAAACACTTTTCGTTAACTATCATCAGGAAGGGAAGAAAGAAGGAAATTGCAACACGTTCGCCATTGATTACGATTCTCGGCCATATCCGATAACGTTTCGAGCCATCGATTCGAGCTATCTCGCAGACCTCAGCCAGGGAGTCGTGACGCACCAACCGATGCTAACCTAGCACAAATATCCTTCATCCCACGACGCCACGTCATGGACTGACCACCCCTCCGCCTCTCCCAACCCGTCCCAGGGCTAGCGAACAGAGACCTGTACGGAAGCCCCTGGGATGACATTCGCAGCACATGTCCAGGCCACCGGAGCCGGTGTTTCCAGATGACAACACTCAATGAATGGTGATCTCCACTGTGTTCAAACACACGCCGCTGAACCTCAGAATTACTCACGCGATGATGCCGTCGAACGCAAGCAATCCTGCGGAGACAGCGGTGATCGAACACGCAGAGTCGCCGCACATCCTCAGCTCGGAGAGGACAGGTTTCACAGGCGTAGAGCAAGACAGCCCGCACTGAAGCATTGTATACCCGACCTTTGACAGCCAGGCTAACGTCGCGACGGCGCCAGAGGTGGCACAAGTTGATGTATGCCACCCTAGCCTTCATTATACGGTTGGAAATCTCATCCATCACCCCTCCGCCAGCACTCACACAACTACCCAGATACACAAACTTATCAACAACTTCAAGCGGTTCACCCGCAAGAGTGAGTGCAGGTACAGGCTCCTGCCAATCATGTAACAGTACTTTGCACTTTGACGGCGCAAAGCACATACCATACTTACAGACACTGATTGGATAGTAACCGTAATTCAGCCATCTCTACATAAGAGACAGTGTTTCGCAATGTTGAAAAAAGTACCTGGAACAGTGACTAGATTTCGAAAGTTTATTTTAACCCCTTGTTCTGATTTGTTTCAATTCAAACAGTGTTAGTAACTCGATAGAATCTTGACAGAGGTTATGATATGCAGTATTGTGATGAGAGATGGCTGCGAACATGCCAAAATTGTAAACAGGAATCTGCGTCATGAGGAACTCATCAACCAATCACAACGAATTCGGCGTGTGCAAATACGATTCGCAGATATATGGCTTAACTTTCGGAGAAACGGTCACAAACAGTAGAGAATAACCTTCAGCAGGAAAACATACAATCAGAAGACGTTGCTTCTCTGCTGACAATAATGTACATAAAAATCTATAAATATCTGCTGATTCTCTCAACAAAACAATCTGTTGCCTGGCTCTTGTCTTCTGTCGTTACAGTGTTACAACCAGATAGAAAACCGTATATATTAGAATGATACTTCTCAGAATAAATACATTAGATTTTAATCTCCGAAAGAAAACCAGCAGTCTCCAACAAATAATCAGCAGAACACATAGAAACACATAGAAACCTAGATGCATGGATTCCTTTTAAGTGCTTCAAAAAGCATAAGTTATAAAAAAAGACTTTGAAACAGTATTACCAAAACATATCTTAATACCTGACTCACTGAATTTAACAGCATGATTTTTGGTTGGTAAATCTTTGTCCAAAGTACACAGTGTATTTACAATGTGCGAATCCACATTATAGGAAGACAAGATATGTTTATACGGATGATTATCCTAAAAATAAGTGGAAAAATAGGGCGGTATCTCAGTGACAGAACAATAACACATGTAGTATATATAATATATAAAACAGCAGTTAAAACCAATAGTTTTCTCGGCTGATTGAGCATGTCACGAACCAGGAAATCAGGTTCAAAGCCAGTGAAATGTGTTTATTATGCTAAAAACTTTGGGCATTCCTGAACTCGATGTTACCGGTTAACAGCAAGAATAGCAAGATATTGATGTATTGTAAATAGTCAGAGACCTGGAAACCAAGCAATTCATTAACAATTATTTGAATACCGAGGGCGAACAGACTTCAGTGTTTCTCTAGAAATACTCTCATTTGACCACGTGTAGCCTCTGACAGGTAAATCCTATTTCACTGCATTCATGCAGTGGAGGTGTTTCTCATAAAAGTGAAATGGAAAATAAGAAAATCTGGAGCTTATAGCCAGACTAGTGGATAGGCTGGTTTATCTACGGGAATTGGGAAACCCTGACTCCAAACTTGTGGTGAACATGGGCTTCAGAATCCCAACGGATCGAATGGCATATGAATTTCTTTATCGTCACCGTTAACAATGGGAATGCAGCCCTTAACACTGCGCCACTCCTTTATGCGTCAGACTTCAAGCCAGAAGATAGGAAGGAGGGTTGGCCCCTTAAGATAGCCAACTGCTCCGGTCTGTGGACATTCAGGTAGCGTTCACGGCCTCGCACAAACTTTAAGAGATTTTGTGCGGTGCATCTCTTGGTGCCCATTATATGCCAAGTTTGCGTTAAAATAATAATAACCCGACCGATAGCTGCTACCTTGACGTGGTGGTCGGGCTTACACATCGCAATAAGCTACATTGGCTGGAACTAGTGTTCCTGTAGGTCCTACCATGCCAAGAAGGTTGTTAGGATAGCGATTAGACTAAAAGCAGTTACCGGCTTAGTGTAAGAATCTTTTTACACTATACTGGGGGTCTGTGGGCGAAGTCGTACTGCTGGGGAACAGGAATGCAACAGCAGTGAGGTGTTTCCCTCAGATGACCAGCATGCCAGCCCAGCTATGCTGTCTCTCTATTCAAGAAAGCCGGGGTTAGAAAAAGTCAACCCGAAAAATTGTACATCCCGACTTAACCTACGGTGGTCCGTAGCCGGCAGTAAATTTACTAATATGGAACCAAACTAAGAAACCAGTTCATACAGGCCGTGTGTGACGGGCCTAAAGCAGTTGTCCCCTGAGCTCTGTGGTCACTCAATACTAACCCTCCTTCTGTTCCAGGTACCCGAAGATTCAACCAACTTTCACGGTATGAGCAGCCGGGAAGTAACAACCGCCCACACACTTCCAAGAGCACACGAAGCCTCCCCGAGCATCATTCTCCTTTACCCACATCACCCTTTTTTTAAATACCTTAGTTTCCTACTTTTACAAAACTACAACGATATGTCTTCCAGTGTTCCTGTTACACACAAAGCCCTGTTCAAAATAAAACGGGCTGAAATTGACTGTTTTCCAACGTCTCAACATATATATATATATATATATATAGCGCTTTCGTTTACGTAAGGTTCTAAAATATTAAGGGATTATTAAACATAAAAATAATGGATCAGAACTATATACAACTTGATATTAACTTTTCTTTTACACGAAATAATACATGGCGCCTCACAAGAGGAAGCAATAATCAGAAGGTGCTCAAACTTCTCTTGTTTAACACGACATTAGAAAACACTTGTGAATAAATACTCCTAAAGTGAAAGGCATACTCATTACTTTTTTTTAATTGATGTGTTAAGAAAATGGAATCCGTAAACACTAACATGTGGATTTATGATGCAGTGATTAATAGTTTGAAAATATTACCTTTAACTGTTGAACAGGAGTAGAATCTATCATATTTACAGGTTTCAATGTGGGTCCAACAGTTGCAGACACTTCTAATCCATCAAAAATAGTAGATGTGAAGTAGTACAATCCTTGAGTCCAACTTCTCCAATTGCCTGCAGGAAATCCATTAGAGAAGGCATTAACTATTCCCGTAGGAGGTGAAGTTAACGGTAAACTGGGGTTAACCGCACAAAACGTGGACCAAGAAAATCCTCCATGCAACTGATAAGCATTACCACCTTCAGTATAAACAGTCTGACCATTCTCAGAGACAGACAATACACGTTTTGTTATTGTAAATTTACACACTTCATTTGATCCCCTTTCTATTCCTCCAAGACAACAATCTCCATCTACCTGTACTTCTACAGGACACCAGGAAAACAACTCAACGGGCTTCGTTTGTTGTGTGTTTATAGAATTAAGGACGAGTTGTGGTGCCTTAAATGTCTCTCTGGAAAAAGCAAACGATTAAATATAATAATCGAACTCACCGACTTGAGTTGACAGTGTCTAAGCAACCATTCAATTTAGACACCAGTGGAGTCAGAATCTGTGTAAGATAGTCATTCTGCACAGAATTCAAGTTGGATGTGCATAACGAACAACCGGACACTGGCTTATAGGCAACAGGTGAAATACCTACGCCACTGAAAATATTTTGCTTGTCTAATAATTATTCTAATTAAAGAAATTAATCATTACTTTGATCAATAAAGTTAACAAACTCCCGCATTGTTTTTAACATCGATTCTAATGTCTCCATGATTGTTTTGCACCTGTTAAAACTTATCCTTACAAGAGTTCAGTTTCACAGGCTGTACTGAGAGCAGTTTTCCATACAGTTTGAGAGCCTAAAAGCACCAAGAAAAAATTTGATACCTTGAAAGTACAACTGTAAAGATAAAAATGCAAAACAATCCAGAAAAGATTTCGAGATATGTTAAACCATCTTTGAAGTTATCTTACAAATCTATGTATATTACAAGGATAACAGTAAAACTGTGTAAAGCTGAAATATATGATCCTTTTTCAAAGAGGTGACTAGATATAGACTAACGAAGAACAGTGAAAAATACAGCTAAACATTGCCAATGTACCTACCATAGGACAGAAGTTCAACTTTACTGCTAGTGACTACACTATAACCTTTCTCTTAAACTTCATGAGAATGAAAAGTGAGACGGACAGCATAACGCAGACGTCTTCACAGAGGTACACATGCTCACGTTTTTCTACTTCAAAACAGTATACACAACGAGAAATGCCTAGGAAATATATTATAATGAAAAGGCAATTAGACGTGGATTGACTTTGAAAATATCTATGACGGTAAAGACTAAGTACATTTTCACTAATTAGAACAACTTTAGTAATATTACTAGCATTTTGAATGCCTCTAAGATCCCAGTCAAACAATCTAAACGGACTAAAATCCGCAAGACTTTGGCTGTTTGAACTGATCATTCCCAACTGTCTTCTAAATAGGAATCCTAATTCACTTGAAATTATTTGTGGAAATAAGGGATAACTCATCATTAGTAAAGTTCTAATAAACTTAATCAATGCAGATTCACAACAACATGAACTTATTTATTTTTCTAACATACTCTACGTAAGGTATGAACAATACTATTTTGTTCGATTTTAAGGAAGTGTGAAGACATAAACGGTCAAGAATATGTAGTTTTTCATTATCCCGTTTAGAGGCCATTTCATAGAGTTTAAAATGTTTGTGTTGTTAGTCTGTAGACAAAGAAACTATGCTGTCTTGATCTTCATTGCTTTCCTCGGCAGCAAATCTTCAAACAGGTAAGTGAAATAAAGTTATTTTAAGCATTGTATCCAAAACAGGAAAAATTGAAAGCAAGACACCATTGATAACCATCATTAAGGATAGTGGCCCTTGTTAAATTACTGACCGTTGATTTGAACTACATACGGTTTGAACCACCTAGTCGGATTCCTTAGGATACTAAGAATCGATGGCTGAAGACTGTTAGGTATACAGTACAAAAGATTTCACAGTGGGGCAGCGTTTTGACTTCATGCTGTCTAATGTCACCTTTTCATACACAAATAAATCAAGCCCTTCCACATTAATCATGCAATGCTTTAAACAGTAACGCCCAAGTTTAAAGTTATCTAATCTGAATATTTCGGTGTACATTGACTGACTGATTTCAACATAAAACTTTGCACCGATGTGCAGCAGTTCGAGTCGCCACACTTCACTCAGCACACAAAGCCAGAGAAGAAGAAAGTAAAAAGAAACGCAAAATAAAGACAGTGAACAGAGATATGAGACAAAGAGAATAGTACAAATGAACTGTCGTCAAGATTTGACAGAATAGTTCTAAAATATTTGGGCGCCGAGTGAGAAGTAGACATTTGTAAAAAATTGTATTTGTAAAGTCTCAGCGAGATTGAAATGAGTAATTCCAACGTTTCGTTCGGCAATCTGGTCCGAACTTTTTCAGGGAAACTAATCGAAATTAACATAACAGAGGTTTATATATAAAAGGAACATCAATTGTTTTTAAAAATTTGTCCAATCATGAGTCATTCAACAAGTGTCAACAAGTATAATAAACAAAATTTTATGAGCTCCGATCAAAATTTGACTCGGACTTACAAATATTGGTCTGCCTTTGTTAAACACTTTAAACAGAGTGTGTATGTGTGTGTGTGGTTAAACGGTTGTAAAACATTTCTTAACGTTTCCATAAGAAGATATGGACAGTCGAGAATTTTGACCAAGTATTAATAATTAGTGATACATATCCATCTTATGGAAACGTTAAGAAATGTTTTACAACCGTTTAACCACACACACACATACACACTCTGTTTAAAGTGTTTAACAAAGGCAGACCAATATTTGTAAGTCCGAGTCAAATTTTGATCGGAGCTCATAAAATTTTGTTTATTATACTTGTTGACACTTGTTGAATGACTCATGATTGGACAAATTTTTAAAAACAATTGATGTTCCTTTTATATATAAACCTCTGTTATGTTAATTTCGATTAGTTTCCCTGAAAAAGTTCGGACCAGATTGCCGAACGAAACGTTGGAATTACTCATTTCAATCTCGCTGAGACTTTACAAATATAATTTTTTACAAAGAGAATAGTAGTATGGAAGAACAGTCGAGTTTTATTGGAAATGATAAGTTACAAAGATTGGATGCATCTGTGCCAGTCATTGAGAACGATTTTAGGCCATATCACCAATTGTCTGCAGCCATTGGAGTTTACCGTCTCGAGGACCTCAACCAGGAAATCTACATCTTCTACGTAGCTGGCCGGCTTAAACTAACTGTTGTGGATTTCATTGACTGATGAAGCCATGTTTTGTTTTGACCAACACTGGTTCTTTTCCAACCTCATGCCAGCTAACATTTTCCATTGTCGACGAAGGCGATGACCAGGGATGCATGCGTAACACTTGTCCTAACCATCTCAATCGATGTAACTAAACACTCGATCGATGCCTAACCTCAATATTACCCACCCTGTTATACCACCTAACACGGGAAGTAAAACAGACACCTATGATCGAAGGCAGCTAGCCAGGCTTTTCATATCTTCCACTTTCAATGGCCATTTCTCACTCACAACCATAAAGGATGACGGAGTGAACTGGTGAGCAGTACACAGGTCATTTGGTCGACAGCCAATCGGATATCACGTGTACTAACCCAGATATGGCGTAATTTCACATATGCCAAATGAGCCTTCTGTATCCTTTGCTGATATTTCGTCAGCGATAAACCTGTTGACGCTGGCTGAGGCAACTTCCCAAATAAGTGAAGTGGTCAACGTGCTCTACCACTTGACTCCCTATTTCTAAGCTGGGAGTCAGTGTAATCCACTCCTGTAGCATCATCTTACATTTGGTGGTGTACAACTGGAGAACATAGGAAAATCTCAAAATTTTGGGACATTTCATGTCAAAATAAGCGAGAAATTAGTAAAACTTGGAATTTATTATTGAGGCCTCTTCGAACTTCTGATTGCTTTAAATTATTCTCCGCCGAAATCTCCACATAATTCCTAACTCTAAATAATGGACCTTAGTCATCTTTATACCCATAAATGATGGGAATTTCGGAAATACTCAAAACTGAATCTCAGAATCTCGATACTTCCTGTTTTCAGCAAACATGCTTGTTTCCTTATATATATATTACAGAATAAAAGCCAACACTGAAAATGACTTTGACTTATGCGCGTATGCGTGAACTGCGTACTTTTCCTTTTCCCAATTTGCTACCATGACTTTACAATTTCTCTGGTTTAAGAGTTAGAGTTGTGGCTAGACTTGAGACACGATCAAATGTAACGATTACAACAAGGCAGAATTATGCCGTTAGTCTATATAATTTAATTAACAACCGATTATAAAAAACAACCCAATCTCACTATAACGGTGAGTTTCGCTAATTTCGAACTAAATCTGACATTCTACGAATGAATTCTGAAACTGTTCTGGAATGGTTTGATTATGCCCACAGACTAGAAGTCAGCGCTGATTTTCAGAATGGCTGGCACTAATTCAGCATCCTGTGCTTCTAGGCGTTTTTAGAGGTAGCGCAGAACCTACTGGGTTTGCTAATCGGTGTTGTTTCAGTCCTTTCAGCTCAGATTCAGCACTTACTGCCATTACTTCAGAACAAAAAGACTTAATTCAGCACATAGAGTTGATTTTTACACTTTCATTTCAGCTGCAAATTCTATTTTTAGGTCTCGTCGCGTTAGTTAAGCATCCAGTGCTCTTCTTAAAAACGACCACCATTATTTCAGTACATAGTGGGTTCATTTTAGGTAGATAAAATATTCACTTACCATAAAAAGGCATCGTCGACACATAGGTTAGAATTAGTTAAAAATTCAAATTCAGATGATAAGGATAGTAGGTTCTTGTGGCCTGTGTTAATCCTTGCAAAATACATCTCTGCATAGATCTAACTTCTCGTTGAAAGCATTCACCGATGGAGATGTTACTACTAAATCAGGCAGGGAGTTCCAGTCGTTGACCACTATGATGGAATCTAAATTCTGCACGTATTTTAATCGTCTTCGGTTTGAGCACCTTTTTGCGATGACCCCGTATATTCAGATCCAGATTTATTTGTTGAGGATAGATGGCTTGGAGCCTATGTTAATCCTTTTCTAGTAAATTTCTGTGGTTGTCCAAACCCTTCTTGAATGAATCAGTTGAGGGTGCAAACACCACTTCTTCTGAGAGTCGGTTCCAAGAGTTTATGACTCGATGTGAGAACCAGTACTCAACAGCAATATGGTTTCTTCTTGGCTTTTGAACTCTTCTGCTATGTCCTCTAAGGTGGGAAGGGGAGAAAAGGTTAGAAGGGACGTGGGTTTAGGAAGCCCTTGCAATCGTATACTCTAATCCATTGTTTAAAATCACTTATTGGTTACTATTTCATAACTTAATCATTGATAATTAACTGACGCACTAGTGCGTCTATATATATAGTACGTCAACAACTGGTGCTGTAACACCAGCTGCTACCAATCAGTCCACTCCAAATTCTAAGAAAGCATGAAAATGTCAAATTTGTTATAAATATAGATTAAAAATTATGAAAAAGTAGAACATTGAAAGAGTTCTCAAATACAAACAACTTACCCGATAGTATTTCCAAAACCAAAATTCCCTCGTTTGAGTTACAGAAAAGCAAATCATGCGAACGAACACATCAATGATCATCCAATATCCAATAACGTTTTTACGAGCTAGTATGAACCAATTTGATTTCTTTGTGCGCGCTTCTTGATTTTGAGCTAAAGGTTCCTGATCTTCAGTAAACTCCTGCGCAGTTCGTCCGTAGTTCGTTGCGTTGGTTGACTCCAAAAGGAGCAGTTCTGGGATTAATTATATGTTGTTTGTGTTAAGACTGTTACTAATGTGAATGGAGTTGATCCCTCCACCAGCTAGTGCCCCGGTATCATCATCAAAAGAAAAGAGATAATAATATATATAATCAGTTGAGGTTATTGAGACTAAAATACAAAAAAAGAAATAAAGATAACATAAAAAACAGACAGCTAATTAAATTTGAAGTTGACATATATATAATATCAGTAATAATAATCACGATAAATGTAGGTGTAGTAGTCGGAGTTGTCAGGAGAGTAAGATGAGAGAGAATGTAAAGAAGTAGATCGACGAACTTAGTTGTTTACCCCCAAATGGTATTTGGGATTTTAAGGGGATGAACCATTTGGATGCAGTCCTTGTGTCGCCGTATGATTGTCCAGCCTTCGCTTAAAGATGTCCACAGACGGTGTCATGGCTGCATCTGCCGGTAAGGAGTTCCTGGGATGGCAAACCCGCAGTGAAACGAAAGGGGAGCACACCCGGGTCCCTGCCCTCTAGTGAACTATCCTTCTGGGATTTCCACGAAGAAGTCTATACCTACTCAATGGCCAAACATCTTTGTTTGGGTGATTCCGATCATTTGTTATTTTGTAGGCAGCAATTAAATCCCCCCTAAGCCGATGGTAGCTAAGTGTGAATAGGCCTAATTTCTTTAGCCTTTCATCATATGGTTTATTTCGGAGACCAACCACCACCTTTGTCGCCCGTCTTTAAGCTCTTTCCTAGAGATTGGCATCTCTTCTAAGCAGTGGGAGTGCAATGACATTATGCACTTCAAGGTGTATTCTGACGTATGTTTTGTACAACCTTAGAAAGAGCTCAGGAGTGAGTGTACCTAACTGTCTATGTGTAAAGTGTATGACAGCATATATCCTCGCTACATCCCCCGTGTAATTTGCGCTTGTGTCCATTTTTTCCGTTAGAAACATACCTAAGTCGCCCTCCAGTGTTGTGCAGGACAAGCTTTCACTGCACAGGGTGTAACTTGCATTCTGCAGTCTACAGGTGAATAATTTTACTACTTTGTGCTTTTTCAGGTTGAAAGTCATGCCACTGGCCACCGCCCGGTCTTCCAGAAGGTCTAAATCTTCCTGTAGCCTATCTGAGTCCTCCAGACACTTTGTCGCCCTCCATATCTTTACGTCGTTAGCGTATAGAAGAGTCGGACAGCTTAGACGGCATGGTAGCTGATTGATAAAAATCGGGGACATCAGTGGTCCTAGGATAGAACCCTTAGACACTCCTGGTGACAAGCTATGCCAAGATGGTCGGACTCGATTGACCCTAGTGCAGAATTTCCTTTCAGCTGGATAGTCCTTCAACCATGACAAAAGTGGCTTACCTATACCTAACTGACTTATTTTGTGTCAGAGAAGGTCATGGTGAACTGTATCAAATGCCTTCTCAAAGTCTAGGAAGACAACATGGACTGGGACATTCATAGCCCAGCATGATGTCCAATCGTCCCGAGCTGATAGTAGGTTTGTTACACAGGATCTGCCTTTCCTGAAACCTTGTTGGGTATCATGCAGTCTATTAGTCCTATCGAGGTGCTCCCTGATGTGATCGTCAATATTACTTTCCAATATTTTTATACCAGTAGGAATAGGGCTACTGGTCTGTAATTAGTGGCATTTCGCCTATCCCCACCCTTGAAGATCGGAGAAAGTGTGGTTCTTTTCCACTCTCTTGTCAGTTTCCCCGAAACCATAGAGTGCTGGAACAAGTCGCATAAGTGCCTACAGAGGGCTTGGGCGCAGGCTGTACAATCAAAGAAATGTAGTGAAATCAGGCACATACCATTATATTTGTTGAAAAGGTATTAAAAGAAGTTCAGGTATATTGAACAGGGTATCTTTTTTCAAGTACTGAGAGAACAGCTCTGAATTTCCCATTGGACCGCTGTTGCTAATTATCCAATAGAGTTTTTAATAACTAATGTAAACGGAACTGAATTGTTTTCGTTAGTTCTATGGTTGTAAGGTGAAGGCTCACTTTCTTCGTCAAACTTCTGCGTAGTATGTCTGGCTGACAGACTGCCATAGCCTTGGTTGACTCTGTGGGGTTGGTGCGTGGATTGATTATAGGTGATTTGTGGCATGTGGTTTGTTAAGAATGATGCTGCTCTGATTGGAGTTAACGCTTTCCCCCAATAGTTGTCCGGTGTGTTCGACACAGGAGATAGTAGAGATAATGGCAATATTAAATATAATTAGTGTGCACTTAAAAAGGAAAACATATGAACAAACCGACAAGTGCTGACCAGACCTAAGAACTCTAGAAGACTGGGCACTGGTCAGTGGTATGTATTTCAGCCTAAAAAGTAGGGTTGCGTGACTACGTACCCAATGACGTGAAGAGTGAGTTGCTTCTTGTGTGACGATTACTTGTCCCATGCAAAGTCAAGTTTATGTCTAACGGAAAGGTTGAACACAAGTGAGAACTACCTGGGTAGTGTGGCGGGGGCATATACAGTTATAATGATGATAATGTATTTCATATAAATTTACAAATTTACATGAAAATGCATGCCATTTTTACAGGCACGATCAAGTATGATATAATATCAAATCGTAGATTGTCTACAAGTTAATCGTATTTCAACTGTTAAATATTCGATACATATAATACACTCATTTTCTGAATTAGGCCGTATAGTTATTGAATTGTACAGTTGTCCTCCAGGTTGAGCGGGAAAATCGACTTCGTTCCGTTTTCATCCCGTGGTTGTAGGCATACGATAACCAACCAATATTGAGGTAAGTACACCTTTCACAAGGGATTGGAATCTGTTTTAGAAAAATTAAAGTGCTGAGGTGAATCATTAGATTGTAATGAAATAGGTAAGTGCAAGTATCATTAATAAATGCATTAATAAAGGAAACACCCTAGGGTAACAACATTCATTTGCAATGTATAATGCTACAGATATATCACAAACTATCATGATATCCACTTTTGGTTTTAATACAATTATCCTCATGCCAGTTGTTTTTATTTTATACCTTTTTGTGCATTTAGTGCACAACCGTACCCTTCAGAGAGTAGGAGTATAATAAGTAATGAAGAGCTATAAGATGTTAAGTTTAATGGAGTAAAATGAGGATCAAGTAAAGACGTTGTCAGAAAATAAATGAGATAAGACATTGTGGAGTGGTATGAAAAGATCTGACGATAGACAGCAAGTTAATTTATAAGATGCCCCATAAATCTGAGCAGATCTCACATGGTCGCATCTCAACAATAGGCTGGGTGAATGGTATATATTTAAAGGTAGAAGCATGATCTGTCAAGGCGTTCATTGTTATCTTTTTCAAGATAAAGATTTAAGCCCTCATAAAAATCAGAAATATCTCGAGCCTTCAAATTTTTTAATGCTGTTCCTGCAGAATGGGGCGATTCACCTTAGTGACCCCCACCATATCTACTGATCAGCTAACTCCACCCTCCCATACTTCAGGCACGGACAGTTAGGTGTGCTCATTCATACCATTTCTCTGGGATTATATAAAACATACGCACGAAGACACCTTCAGATGCACAAGATCATTCCCCCCCTTTTATATGAATGTGACACGGGTTTTGGAAAAGGCTCAAGGACGGGCGGCTAAAGAGATTTTGGGCCTCCAGAATAGACCATGCAATGAGAGACCGGGGAAACTAGGACGTTTCTACTTTGCCACCGTTGGCCTAAGAGTGACGCAAATACTGCATGAAATACCACAGATGAGCAGAATGGTACGAGTGGCATTCTTCTGTTAAGTCATCACGGGCTTCCTCTTGACAAACCATGAAGGGCAGCTCACTAAAGAGCAGAGAATCGAATGCACTACTTTTTTCTTTCGGTTCGCAGAATACTCTGCTTGCCTCTAGTCAGCTATGAGGGGTGCTTCCCAGGGTGCATTGTCACAAGACAGACTGCACCTGAGATCTCCACGTGGACGATCCCAATCACCGCTTCCCGGTGTTCTTCTATTGAAAGTTCAGCCCAATCTATGAACAGTTCTGCGTGAGACAAGTGTCTTCATGTTCTGGCTGAGTAGGCTTTGCTTCAACAGAGACAGGGTCGTGCAGCATCACACTACGAGGGCTTTCAAGGAGCAGGATCAAACACTTTGATCACATGGTCAATGCTACCTGGAGGGGACAATTTTCACGTTAACCACTAGCAATTGGTCACGAGTTAGGATATAACCCGGCCTTGAAGATTTCTCACTAAGGCCATGACTAATGTCGTCTGTTTTGCTCCCAGTCAGTCCACGATTCCTGATATGTAGCAGGTTTCGGTCACGTTTTCCTTGAGCACACTACAACCATAGGTCCCCAGATACAACGGTTCATAGCCCGAGTTTCATGCCACTGCGATGTTGCTGACCATTAACCGAGTGTTTCCAGTTCAACAGGAGGGTTGCCGATATACGCCACGCGAAAAGTGATTGGCTTGGCCGACAGGGAAATGGCATCACACTGAGTGCGCGATCTCATTGAGTGGTAGGTCAATTTCTCGCACGCGTCCTAGCTGCATGTCTGTGCATATGGCAACTGCTCCTTCTCCTGGTAGAACCAACCCTTCATCGCCTCTTCCTCAGGCACAGTTAAGAGAATCAGGGGGCACTGACTGTTTTTCTCGGTGTTGTACCGTTGAAGCGTAACTGAAACATCAGTATGCAATATAATCCCGGTTTGCTGCTCAGTTAACACTCAAGGTCTGCTTTCCAAGGGCCAAAATACGTCCAGTAGCCTTATCGTTTTCCTCGTACTGCTGTCTGAGCATCGTGATTGATAGC